CTTTTTGCTGGAACACTTTGTGCAGCGATTGGGGTATTTGGATAGCGCGATAATTAACAATCTTGGCTGAATTTTCTGCCCTTACGAACGATCTCTTGTATCGAAATCCGGTATGGTCTAGTGGCTAGGATACCTGGCTCTCACCCAGGAGGCTCGGGTTCGATTCCCGGTACCGGAATTATTTTTTTTTCCGGCGGCAATGTCCTCTCGCACTCTCCGCATCTCGCACGAGGATTCGAACGATGGAACGAATTTTTTTTTTAAAGATCGTTGTTCCATTGGAATAATTTAGTTCGTCGATCGCGCGATGCGACCCAGTAGTACTCGGTCGCGACGCGGCACGACGCGAGTGAAAAGTAAGCCGAACTGACGAAGCTGTACCGAAACCAGTCTACGGTAGTTCAATTTCGTAATTAAACTGGAACCGCGTAATCCGATTCCGATTCGTGTGAAACTTGACCGAAGTCATTTGCTTGCTCAACGCTCCTTCCACTCGGCGTGACGTATCGTGCCCATTAAAACAGAGAATCCATTGCCTTATCAAAACTCACGAATAGTGGAAACAATACGCTTCCTCCTCGAGGTTTTCTACATTCCTTTGTGCCTCGCTCGATCAACGTCGCAACGATTTGATCCACACAGTTTCAAAAGTCTCCGTAAACTCCGAGGCGGTGGAATCGAAATCGAACGAAAATTCGAAAACTCAAGACTACCTCGCAGTGAGTACTATTTTTCGTTGCCCCGAGTAAATATTAAATGAAAATTCGTATCGACGAATGAACAGGAATTTTGACCGCACTGAAATATTTATGGCAACTTCGAACAAATACTTTCTCCCTCGAAATGACGCGAACAATTAAACGAAAGTGCAATTGCTCCGTGTAACTGCATCGCTGCATTTCTGCGATAGATCGTACTGCTCTAGGATAGAATACCAATACCGAAATGGAATTATAACTCGGATAAATTGTGCATCGTGACGGATTTTATATGCCAACGACCTATTTACAAGATAAATCAATTTCTATTTAACTCCCGACACAGCTGCTACGATTAATGTTCATTTTGCTCAAATATCCACGGTCCCTCGTGAAGGTCTGAAATGAGCCACCCCCGTTGCTTTCTCGAAGCAAAATTTGACGTGGAATCTTCAAGCTCGGCAACGCGTTGCTACCTCCGGATCAACCGTCGGGTAGCCTCAAATGTTGGGACGATTTCGGGTCGACCCTTCGAAAGTGATGAGTTTATGACGGCTATTGAGAACGGAAAGCTCGGTCTTAACACTTCCACGACCGCGCTAGAAACCTCAAAAATTGTCATGAAATTAAAATATTTCATTCGATTAAACAAAAATGATGTAGCAAACTTATATGACACCGATTACTTCTTCAGCATTCGCGTGCCTCTTGCAAATCTTAATAAAATTAAGCAATCATTTTCAATCATCCATTCGGTCGGCAACCGACTGAATTTAAAACGGGAAGATCACCCCGTTCGATTGGCTAAGCGTTAATCTGAACAATTAGTCACGCGGAGACAAAACAACGGAACAAAAATACAGACGCAACAAATGTCGCGGAAAAGTGCATCGATTAAAAGAGAAATTCGTAGAGGTCGGAGACGCCCGATCGGCGATAAGCGAATCTGCGCACTAGCTGCGGGCTATCGGCACAGTGGTTCCATCCGGGTCTGCATCGTGGATTATCGCATCGTAAAAACGGCGTTGCGTAAAAGGAGGTTAAATAAAATCGGTTAGAAAATAGCCACGCGGTGCGGCCCGCGACAGAATTGATTGGTCGTCGCGGGCAGAGCATGCGTGCAGTGCACCGGGCGTCGCGACGCCGCGCCGCGTCGCCAGCGTCTCTCGACCCGTTGCTCTGCTCTGCACAGGCACGGCTCTGTACCGTCCTGTGCTCGCTCTGCTCTGCTCTCTGTTCTCTGCTGCTCATGGGCAGGCCCCGCGTGAACTTCTTTGCCGAATCGGGAACGGCGAATCGCCAGTGCGTGGCTCGCCGTAGCGTGGCCCTCTGAAGTCCGCCGGCGTCGCAGCCCACACGGAATCCCGTTCGACGATTGGTGCCCATGGACGAGGATGAATTAAGGTAGGGCACGTGTTGGTTTACGAACCCCGAATGCAGGATAACCTCAATCTTCGCTGGTATAACATGTGCTTCCATTCCGCGACGTCGATCCGCCTCGGTCGGGCTCCGCCTGCGAAAAGTCGAGCAATCGCTTCTGGGACTCCAAAACGTTTCGACGGCCGAAGTGCGTCCGCCTCGGAAATTCGTATTTAAGTCGATTGCCGCTGCAGGGTCGCAACCATGATCTCGCGACACAAGGGAGGGTATCGGCGACCGCATAGCGATAGCGTATCACGCGGAAATTATCGTGCGAAGTGAAGACTCGAAGAACCCGGCGGACAACAGTATCGCAGCTCGCGCAGCTCGCCTCCCATGAAACAGGGACAGGACATTGTTTATCGGACCGAGTGGTAGTCGTGCAGTCGACGTTCAGTGGGTGTGCATGGTTCGGGGGAGCATTTTTGCCGAGACTGGGGGCGTTAGAGGACTCGGTGGTTGCCGTGGAAAGTGATCTGGATTTCCGTGTTTCGAGGACATCGTCGACGTTCCAACGGTTGTAATTTCGCGACGAAGAATAGTACGGTGACACAATTGGTCTCGTTTCGAAGCTCGGAGCCTCGCTATTCTCGCTGATCATCGTTCATTTTATTTCGAGAATATCCCTCCGCGACGCAGTCGGTGGAAAACCGAAAGCGTTTCTCTCCCGATCGTTTCTCTCGGGAATTGTGCAAATTGAATCGTCTCTAGAAACGTTGTACATTTTTCTTCGCGAATGAGACAACGGCGAGTTTAAAGAATAAAGTCTCCCGTTTGCAACGAGCCCTTGAATCTCGATCTACGATTTTTTTTAGCCGTTTTGCGGAGCGAAGAGGTGGAAGAGGTCGGATCTATCTCGCGTTATTGGAGATTTGGCAGTACACTTTACGCTGAAACCTAAATAAAACGCTCGAGAAAAATCGTACATCAATTTTTTTGATGTTACTGTAAAGAAGAAGCTTCGCTCTTCGAATCCACGGTGAACTCGATGCAGGAAAAAATTTTCGAACGATTTTGGAGACGTTCGAATAGAGACGATTTTGGTGGACATTTTCGAGAAGAAAGGCGTCTTCGGTTTCTCGTCGGCTACGTCGCTCATAAAAATTCTATGGAGAAATAATTAACGGTGCGGGAAAGTAGATACCACGAGCTTTAAAACCACTCCAATTTCATCGGTGTACGTTTCTTTTTCACGAAAATGCATTATTCAGAGTTCTATCCGCCTTGCGACGGTCTATCGGGGGTGGACGTTCGTCTTGGGGTGGCGAATGCGATCGCGCGTGCACTGGCGTACATGGTCTGTGCATTCGCGCGGGTGCAACGAGACACCGGGTACCTGTTCGAACCACGGCTGCACGGGTGGGAGCGTTTTTTGTTGTTCCTTTCTTCGAGAGCGAGAACGCGTTCACCTTTCGCCGCGCATTCCATCCGGCTCGGCTCGGCTCAGCTCGGCTCGGCTTGAATCGACTTCACTTGGGGAGCGCCCGATGGCCCATGGGCTCCCATCGGGCCGTACGTTGAGCTGTGCTGTGCCGTCTCGCGACGTCCTGTGCCGTGTTGTCCTGTGCTGTGCTGTGCTCTGCTGTGCAACCATGGCGCCCCCGTTACAGCCATCCCCGGAATCCCAGCAATTCCGCGGCGATGCAATCGATTACCGAACCGGATCGTTTTCTCCTCTCGACGGATCGAAACGAATCTCTCGGCTCCGTGGGATCTCTCTCGGCTGCGATCAGTGAATTAGGAACGCCCGAGCCTGTTTCTCATTGCCAGTACATATTTTCGTGGCTGTTCCCTTCGCGGAGCCCTCGCAGACTCCCGTGAAATCTCTCTTTTCTTCGGGTTTCTCAATCGACCGGAGAAAGTCTCGCGGCGATCGAGTGAAACCGAGGGGAAAAAGTTGCCTAACGATTTGGAAACGGTCCGACGAATTCTCTCATTCGGACCATCCTTTCGATCAGAATTTGATCTTACATTGGGAAACGTAAAATTTTTCGGCTTCGATTCAAATTCGGCGACGAATCAGCGTGCAAACTCGGGCAATATGCAGACCGTGCCGAACAGGGGAAGGATTGGGAAAATTGTAGTCAACGTAAAAGCGTTGGAAAATTTTTTTCCTTACCGCATTTACAGTAGATACGAAGAATAAACTCTCCTCTTTTCAACGACTACAAAAAACTGACTGTACGATTTTTTTGGATCCTTTTATGAGCCAGAAACAGAGATCAAATTCGGTCATCTCCTATCACCGTGCATCTGGCGGTACACCTTCCGCTCCAAGTTCGATAAACCGGCCCCAAAAAATCGTACATCGATATTTTTACAGTCGTTTTAAAGAGGAAGGTCCAATCTTCGAATCCGTGGTAAATTCGAGCCGTGAAAAAATTTTGCGAGCGCTTCCACGGACGTCCAAATAGCTAGCATACGCGAGGAAAAACACGTCTTCGGTTTCCCGGCCGCTGTCGTGGCGAACCGCGATCGAATAAAACGACCAACGGATCGCGAAAGTAGAAGGTTCGAGCTTTAAAATGAGTCTAAGTTTACGGTTGTACCGTTCCCGTTCGCGAAATTGTGAGCAGAGAGATTTACGACACCAAGGATCTGCATAGAGATGTGCACTTGCAACAATTAGTTTGGATACTGCGCACGGTGTCGATGTCACAATAGGAGTGCGCGGAGGGGGGTTGGCTAATCTCGGTGGAAGATTCACCGTGCGATAAGATATGACATAATCGAGCATTGTTGCGCAACCGTGGCTCGGCTAGCGTCGGGGCACGGGCCACGGTGCGCGGATCCGACGGACTTCCATAGAAAGAATCCCATAATTGCAGGCCACTAGAGGGACCGGTGGTCATTCCGGTGTCGGCCACCTTGCGATCCGGTCCTTTCTCGCTGCTCTCGCCGGCAGTTATGGCAGCTGGACCGTCGCGTCGCCGTAACATTCGTCGCGGAGCCAGGTGAAAGTTCTCGGTGCTCGGAAAAGTGTGTTTCGCGATCAGTTTCCGAGGGATCCCGCGGTTTCCGGTTCGGACAATGGCAGATCCAATTAGAGATCGTGTTCGAGATCGTTGCGGAGGTTCAAGGCTGCTAAATTGACGCTTTGAAGCCCGCCGTCGTCATTGAACGCGATCGTCCGGAGACGCAATCAGTGGCCAAAGGAGCGGCTCGCGCGATCGTCGACGGTCAGATTAGTTTCAAGGCGAGCACAGTGATCCCTTTCGCCGAGGACGCGCGGAAAATTTGCTTTCCGCGTCTTCGAAGTCACGCGAGAGACGCCTCCCGTTTGATCGGAGTGCATAGTGCGCAGTGCGACGAAACTACGGTCGAAATCGGTGTCGTTGTCTCTGCTGAAAAATTTCAGATCGCTGCACCATTAGCTTGGACGGTTCCTCGTCGGACATGTTTTATTTACGCTTATCGTGCGGTAAATCGTCTGGAAACGTACGGTGTCGCTGTATCAATCAGTCGAGGAGAACCAGTTCTCGTTTTTTCGTATGACCTGACCTACATTCGTTGCAAATCGTTGCGACTCTCCGAGGACGTGTTACTGAAACGTGACTCCCACGATTCGAACGCTAACGTTAAACAGGTTGTCGACGTTTCGAGCCAATATGCGAACACAATAGGATCAGTATCCACGCGATAAAGTGGATATTAAAAAAACCGAATGCTAAAGAACGAAGATCGGCGCGACGCAAACCGCTGAGTCACTTCTCTCTCGAGCAATTTCTTTTTCGATTTATTATACAGCGATCGAGTATCGATTTTCGATCACCGCAAGTTTCGTCGCAGCGTGTGCCGCGCGAGAGGGGTGTAACGGGGAAGAGTTCTAATTTAACCATAGAGAAAATGAATCACCTTTGAAACGCGTTAGGCAGTCGTCGAAGGCCGCCGTTAATTTGCCATAAATCGGTCTTCCGCGGATTGAATTTCGCAAAAAAAAGCGAGAACGGCGTTTTGCAAGGATCGCGGCAGCGTTTCGAGAGCGCGTAGAATTTTTATGCAACGTGAGATGATCGTGTCAGCAACGGGTATCCGTGACACCTAGCTGGCGAACCGAGCGATATCGTTGCACGTTGACGAAGGAAAAAAATGGTTCGATAGGTGACGCCGGCCGAAGCCAGCTCCGTCGATAACTCGGCGCGATAGATCGCCGTGGATCCCTAATCGAAGTCGTTCCACGATTGCCTAACAAAGAGTCGTCGTCCAGGTTCGAGGCGATTTGCATAGGCGCACCTTTGGACACCCGGTGAATGGCTTTCGCAACGCGAGCTTGAATCTTCGAGAAAATCCTTCCTCAAGAGAGAATATTTCGGCGCGTCCGTTGAGAAAAATGACCGATCAAGTGTCGCCGTTGCTGGACGTAAGAAGCAACGGGCATCTCGACGCCGATGGATCGATCAAGTCGTCGATGGATCACGCTCTGCGCAACCGAGTGCTCAGGTAGACAGCTTTTAATCGTCTTCGGCGAAGTTGCAGAGAAAAACTGCAGAATTCTCCGAAGTAGTCGACGGTGTCTGTGTGCTCTCTGTGATTCTATCGATTCTAATAGATCGCTCCGGGGACTCGTTGCTACTTGCTGACGCTAATTGCATCGGCACGAACGGAGTAGATAATTACGGATTTATTTCTCTAGCTAGCTTTTTGTTCGCTAAAGTTGAGCAAGAAATTGGAGGTTCTTGTTGTTGCCCGTTGATTCCGGTTCCGAGAAGCTTCCGATGGAAACTTACCGCTTCTGTAAACTCTGTTGCGATGAGAAACGAAAATGTTATCTGCTGCGAATATTTCGAGGCGTGCAGTCCGACGATCGGATTTAGTTTGTAGCCATGCATACTGCATTTTGCCGACGACTGTTTGTGTACGTGTGTATCTACTTCTGTGCATATTCTTTCTTTCTTTTGCATTTCGCTGTAAAAATTGTTCTTTCGATATTGTGCATTGTTAGGTAATTCTTCTTTCTGTAGTTTGGAATGCGAATCTCTGTTCGAACGTTTATCCTGCGTTTTAGCAAACAGGCCTACTCTTTTGATCCTAGCGCACTGCTGAACCAATTTTTATTTCGATACATTGGGAATTCAGTTTTTCTCGGTTAGTTTCAGCTTAATTGTTAAGCTATGGGGAACAAGGTTCGGACAATCTTGGCCACCACGGTTTAAGAATTAATCGTCTCACGTAGCACATTTAATTTTGCAGTTCATTTAACGCGCCTCTTTCGATTCGAATGCAAAGTGCGAGCAACTTGTGCTTCCACGTTCCGCAAAGTATATTTTTCCAGTACCTCCGTAACCGATCGATAGAAAATTATTTGCTCGCTTGTAGCAAGATACAAAAAAAGAAGGAAACGAATCCAGAATTCTGCGAGTTAAATCACGCTAATCTCGAGTCTCGACGCTTATCCGTATCACAACCGCGCGATACAAAATCGAACGCTATCGAGACGGTCGCGTATCCGCGCGAGTAAAGGCCATAATCGGTTACCATAGCGTGTGTTACCATTATCGTTTACTCGCGTTGTCAGTGATCACGTGAACGGTCGATGATGCGACCCGTATCGTTTATCACGTTTCAACCGGCACGATCGTTCCCGGGCACGTTATATAAGGTCTCGGGATCCAGCGTGTTATCATCGCGAAGTTAGAATCGGCGGGCGACCATTGTAATAGATAATCGATCGCTGCCGGAGAGAAGGTCTTCAACCTCGAAGTCAGCCGATCGTCCAAGTACAATAAACGGTCTCATTAAGCCGGCCTGTAGGTAGTGTCACGCTTGACGCGTCTTACGTCAATCTAGACGAAGAATGGGTCGCAGTTCGATGCATATTCGCAGATACCGGATCGCGAGTGTGAGCCGTTAAATATGCATGAAATCCGGCCGCGTAACAGTTCGCAACGTGATCGACGTTTGACGAAACCACGCATAGCGTCTTTTTTGCGAAGGGAGCACGTACGTGCTACGTCACCGTTGGATTCACCTTGGTCAATCCGTCCGCGAGAGATCACGGACAAAACGGAACCCACGTCCGAGAAATTATTATCGTTTCGCCGCTTCGTTGACGTACAAGCGTAAATCATCGGGAGCAACTGGAATTTAGAACGACGGAGGGATTGGAAGAATATACCGAAAGAAATGAAATTTCGATTTGGCTTCCGTTTGTTGCCGCCGATGCTGCGAACGTTTATTTCGCGGATGAAACATTAACGCGAATGGGTTTGCTTTTTCGATCGGGCAAGATCGACGACGATTCAAGGAACCGCTTGAAATTCGTTGTGAAATAATAATTTATGATTTTTCGAACGATCGTATACGCACGACTGTGATCGAATGCTCTCCGTCAGACGTCTCTCGCAGTTCATAGTGATTCAAAGGAGGATCCTCCAGTCGATTTGCCCGGTGCCAACGTAATGTATCACAAATTGATTCGCATGCTGTTGTGTCGCTCGAGCCGCTCGCACGAGCAATCTTCCTCCTTCTTTTTTTTCTGTCCCTGAATCTTCCCGTCGCTTCCGGTCGCGAATAATTCAAGAAACGACACCGAACACGCGGTGTTTGCTAATGGGATCAACGTCGCTAATGTTGTAGCCGGCGGAATACTTTTACATCGAGTACATATTTCAAAGTTGACACTGAAACGTATCTACTTTCTTTCGTAAAGAAGTGCAATCGTTGCATAATTCTGTAGAGTATGGCATAACAACACCTAATCGGGTAAAGAAATTATATATGTTACGTTACATCTCCTATATTTACATACTCGTGACTGTTACAATTTTCGCTCTGTAACTTTGCGGCTAGAATTTTCACGTGCACCGCTATCGATTACAGCGAAGAAACATCGTTTTCTCGAAGCCGTTTTTTTGACGATTTTCCATCTATTTCCAGGAGAACGAGAAGTCTGAACGCGCCCAGTCCCATTCAACAGTTCGGCCCATGCGGGCGTATTATGAAAAACTCTGCAATGGTCATGTAAGTATCACCTTGTTCTCCTTTTTTTTTTCTTTTTCAACATCTACCGAGCCATCTCGAGAAATGCTAACGTTTTCAACGCCTTTTCGCCGCTGAAACTTCTCGGAAAACTTCTCCGTCGGTTTCCAGGCACTGCCGCGAGAAATTGCGATAAAAAGTTTAGACAGATTGCACCGAGCGGACGAAATAATTGGAGACAGGCGATCGGTGGACGTTTTAATTGTTTAGAAATTCGCAGAGGAGATCGTTGTAGCTCTGCTCGATCCTGCTAGAAAGTCTCGCGGAACGGTTACGACGACGCGACGCCGCGCAAAAACGTTTTTGTTTTAATAAGACGGTTTGTCAGCGGTTATGGCAGCGAAGGAAAGCGCGGCTCTTTCGGCTCGAAACCGACGCGCCACACGCTGGCGTCGTGACACGACCTAATTGTCCGTAACAATGACTTCTCCAGCGAGTCCGAGTGTCCGGGTTTATTATCGTAATATAAAAATAGCGACCTTATAAATTATATACATGACAAGGCATTTGAATATGCAAATGAACGAACGATGTTCCAGCCTTCAAACAGTAATGTCCGAGGAAAAACCAACGCAGTTTATCGTGCAGGGGAAGTGGAACAAATGCTCGCGACTACAATTTTGATCTGCATAATTTAGATAAATAAACCCTCGTGGCTCGAAACGCCACTGATTGTATATCTCATTGTATAACTAATATAATCGAGGCTACGAATAATCCAAGTCGGCTTTCGCAGGCTATTGTATTCGCAAATTCGCAAGGTATTGTCGAAATTCGTATGAAATTCAATTTGCTATAGAATGCTATTTTCTATCGTTCGCGTGATCTAGAATTCCGTGAAAATGCAAGTCATCCGCGATCCGATTATCGTCGAGGGACTGCCAAAATCACTGACCATCCTGCCCCGGCGATCGGGTATGCCGTGAATCCGTAAATATTGGAGTGGGACGAACAGTCGCTATGACTGTTCTAGAAGCTAGAAGTTCAATGTTAATGCCAAATGTAAAATGTATCATTCATTAGTTACTCAGCAGGAGCGATCGACGGAATACCGGTGACTCGTGCGATTGCAGTCGGAAGGAAAAACCGAATTTCATTAACGAACGACACTTCGCATCATTAATCGAATCGCACGTGTCGGTTTGTCAAATGGTTAAGCAAGTAGAGGCTGCAGTGGACTTTGATGAGAGGTTTAGCATGATTTGCGCGGGAGTTGCGTGTTTGCCGAGAGATTCCGGCGAGTCTATTTCACACGTCAGCATTGTCTTCGGCACTTTGTCCGGTAATTCGTTTGCACTTCCCCCGTTTTGTATGTTCATCGTATTTATTTCTCTTCGGTCCTTTGACCGAATGTTCGATTCTTTTGCTAATTTCCTGCCGAATAGTCTTGGCGCATTAGCACATCGCCAACGAATGCACCATCGGATTCCACGATGCGTTTATCCGACTCGTGTTCCGTTCCGCGATCACATAACGACGATAGGTCGACAGACACGTTTAAAAATCTGTCGCGACGAGGAATCATTAAAAAGATGTCAGCATTTTGTATCGAGAGTGACGAGCAAAAATGTTCTCGATCGAGCAGAAAAACATTGCATCGATTTCATAGTAACGACATATTACGACGAGAAAAGTAAAGTCACGATAGTTCACGGAGCAAGTGACATAATCGTTCGAGATGCACCGCCAGAGAAAAGCTAGGGACTCATCGATCCCGCTGCAAAGTAGGACGTCGGTGAACTAAAGTCGGGGCAAAACAGAGTTGCACGTGAATCGGAGGAGTCGGGTGCCTCGGCTTCGCGTCGCCTCCTATCGCCTCGTGTCGCGCGTCGTCCCCGCGCGTATTATTCGCATAATCACGAATCGCGTGCATACGAAACCGTCTGTGCGCGCTTGCGCGTCGTCCGATTGTTTACCGTTAAAAAACGTACCGCCGTGTTCGGTCCACGTTCAGTGCGAGCGCGACTCTCAATCCGGTACCACGTCATGGTTGGAACTGTCAGGTAGGCTCTTCGGAGGCCACTCGAATCACGTCTTCATGCAATCGGACCTAGGATCATCGTTGCACTCGGGACGCTGTCGAATCTCATCAGCGACAACGAATTAGAACTCGATCGTTCCTAGCATTCGCCATTCTTAATTCAGGATCATTTCAATCGATTTTTCATTGAAAACAAGGTATGGCACAGTCGGTTCTTGGTTCAGTATCATCTCCAAAATTCTCTCCTAGTTCTTGGCAATATTCTCTTTCCTCTTCTTGGCGATATTTAATTCGAAATGATTTCTAACACAGTGAATTTTTATTTCAAAGTTACATTCAACACATTGCCAATTTATATAATAGTTCAAAATTTTCAAAAATTTTCGTCCAAACTTATTACCAACATTGTCAACTATTCCTTCTAAATAATTGTCGACGTTGCAAGTATGTTTGTTGTCTCGTTCCTAGCATTAGCATTGTTTGCTTGATTTTAAATGTAAAATAATTCAAATTGGTTACAATTCATTTCAGATTAGATATTGTTTAACCATGCATACTGTTTCTACGAAAAATCACAATGTTAAGAAACCGTTCTTACTTCGTCCAGAGGCATTTCATTGTAACAACGAAAATAGTAATTTCAGTTTAGCCCTTCTTTTTGCGATTTATCGATTCGGAAGCGGACAAATCGGAAGCGGGCAATAATTAATTATACGAAACGCGCCTTCCCGCCGTGTGTCGTTAAAATAATTTCGAGAGGGATGACTCGGCGAGATTCGCCGAAAGGGAGACGAAAGTTAATTTCTGAAATCGCGTTCTAAGGAAATAGGATCGATTCTCGAACGACCGAACGACAGGCATCTCTCCGGGCGGCTGCGATGCATTATGCATCGATCCCTTCGCACCTTTGATCCCCGGCGACCGTAATTCACCGATAAGCCCCTCCGAGCTTCATACGGGACCGTTCGTCAATTTCGTTTAATATTAAATAGTCGGGTCATCGAGTGCTTCGGCTCGCAATCGGAACCCTCGTGTACACCGTAGACTGTAGACCGTAGTCCGATGGTTGTCCGAGCGGAGAACGGTTCGCCTCGTCCTTGGTCGCGGAAGATTCCTGCTAATCGCCGAGCGGAGAACGCTTTTGTCATTAATATTAATTATCTCATGACGCGCACGGTCTCGCCTTTCAACTTCGCCGCGGAGAACCGCGACTCCCTCGACTCGACCGCCAAGATTCACCCAGGAACGTTGAACTTCTATTCCAGGACCATACAGGACCCAGCCTCCCAGAGGTTGACGTGGTACAAGCCGCCGCTCACTGTCCTGGTCATCAAAAAGGTCCGCGATTCGTCGGTCCTGCCGCCTTTCGTTCAATTAGTCACATGGCTGATCGAGGTAAGTGAAAATACTTCAATTCGAATGCGCGGTTCCTTTAATTCGTTTCATTTTCTCCGATTCCCCTTGGTCCTTCGAAAATTCACGAATGAATTTTTGCTTTCCATTTCCTATTCAATCTTTAGACCTTCTCCGGTTTCCAGCGTGCTCGCTTGGTCGAACAGCGTCTTCTTCGGCAGTTAATTTATTCGCTTACTATTTTATCCTTTTTCCGTATCATTTTTAATACCCATCGAGTTCTATCGCACGCGTTCGTGTTCCGTTCAAACTTCTTCAATCCGTGCAAAACCTACGCGGTCCAACAGCATCGACTAGTGCATAATTTATTCGACAACGGACAATACATTTTCTTTCTCGATGTTTGCGTTCCATGATCTCTGTTCTCTGTTCATTCGTTTCCGAGATTCTTTACTTTTCCCAGACCTGTCGGGTTCGGATCGAATTTATTCCCCGGACGGACTCGAACGTTCGCGAATTTGCGAACGTACGCGCGGCTGGTCGGCTCGGCGCCGATCGCAATTTTCCGAGTCCGACTGCACCCGCGTGCAAACTCCATCGGTTTATCGATTCAGCATGACTAGTAGAAGTTTCGCAGGCGTTCGAATCGGCGCAGGGTTCTCACGAGCTAGAGCCGGCGCGACTCGATGCGTTTTATTCCTCTATCGATCAGCATTTGCGTCACGTTCCTCATTAGTTTTATGCGATCGGACGAGCAGTTCAGGAGTTCGAATTTCGTTTCGCAGGAGAAGCGGATGGTGGTGTTCGTGGAGGCGTCCGTTCTGGAGGACCCGGCCCTGGCTAGGGACCCTAGGTTCGAGGGGGTCCGGGACAGGCTGCAGACCTTCAGAGACGGCACGGACGATCTCCAGGTAAATACCTCGTTCCCAATGGAGGACCCAAAGGTGGACCAGTCGTTCGACAGTATACAGTTGAACCGTCGATCGTTTCAGGATCGAATCGACTTCATCGTCTGTCTAGGAGGCGACGGGACGCTCTTGTATGCGAGCTTGCTGTTCCAGCAATCCGTGCCGCCCGTGATGGCCTTCCATCTGGGCTCCCTGGGCTTCCTCACGCCCTTCGAGTTCGACAATTTCCAGGAGCAAGTGACCAACGTCCTAGAGGGTGAGTAGAATCGGCCGAGCCCCACTTTTCCGCTGTTTGCGGCGAGATTGTCGCGCAAATATCGGCGTCCTTCGGCGCGCAGCTTTCCCCTCGTCGACGAGATAATTGCGCACGCGACAATCGGACGCCTGTGCTGGCCCAGCGTCATGCGAGTTCCACTTTTCGATTATTGTTGTTATTATTATTAGTATTATTATTATTATTTGGTCCGAATAAACGACTCTCCTCGTACGCTGCCACAATCTTATTCTTCGATCGAGAAAACCAGATTATCGTAGATCGGTCGCGAGTACATTGTGCCCGACATGCTAATTGATTCTCGCTATCTTCCGGTTTAGTCTAGAAGAATGTCGGGAGTCGTCGGATTCCGTGAGTCAGACGATAAAGTGTCGCAAAGTCATCGCTTTTCGCGATAAATTCGTGCAACAAATCGGAACAAAATAAAAGTGATACTCGAGCATGGCGATCTGCGTCAGGTACGCGTGCACCGACGTATTCCGATGGCAATTTGAACGCTCGCGAGGGGAAATTATTCGTTCGAAAAGTGCAGTCTTTGGTAGAAATGTTCGATGTTCAATTTGCAATGAAAACGACGTTACACGTCGAACAGAATGCCGAGGTGGCAAGAGTAAAGGAATCTTGGGTCTTAAGTCCGCGCGGACAAATTAATCACGCAGATATCGTATCGTCCGATGCTTGTCCAAAGCAACGAGCTTTCTAACGATCTTTCGCCGGTGTACAGGTCACGCGGCCTTGACCCTGAGGAGCCGCCTGAGATGCATCATCATGCGCAAAGGAGAGGAGGGCAAGCCGGCGAAGCCGCCGACGAATCTTCTGGTGCTGAACGAGGTGGTGGTGGATCGTGGCCCGTCTCCGTACCTCTCGAATATCGATCTCTTCATCGACGGCAAACACGTGACCAGCGTGCAGGGCGACGGTCTGATAGTCAGCACGCCGACGGGGTCCACGGCGTACGCCGTCGCGGCCGGAGCCAGCATGATTCATCCTTCAGTACCTGCCATCATGATCACACCGATCTGCCCGCACTCCTTGTCCTTCAGGCCGATCGTCGTACCCGCTGGCGTCGAGCTGAAGGTATTCGCGAATTTTTCCCGGTCGCTTTCTTCCGGCTGCGCGAGTGTCCCGAAATAAGTTGATTCGAACGACGAGCAACGCGCGATCAGGCCCAATAAAATCCAAGTTCCTGCGATTTTCTCGAGAAACGTGGTCCCCGAAGCGTTCCGGAGGATCTTGAAATCGTAAGTTTTGTCTTTCAAGCTGCTCTCAGCAGCCGAGCAAGCTGTTCTCAAGGTCTTCCTCCTTCGGCGATAAAATACTCTAGGTTCGTTTTTTTAGCGAAGCAGACTTCGCGTTTCGGATCAATTTCTTTCGGGCCACAATGGGCAATGAAAGTTCGAATGGGGCCAACTGCGCACCCACAGAGGAATGCTGAAAAGAACCGAGAAAGTCCTCGATTCGAGGACCAGCGTCGGAACTGTGTCGGACTGCAAGAAACTGCAGCACCGAGCCGCGTTTCTCGCGTTAACGCGATCACGTATTTCCGTGTGGGTCACCGGGAGAGGCTTCTTATCGCGGTTGCATCAAGATTGCTGGTTGTCCCCTAGAAGGAAACTTGGTCCTGGCGGATGACGCCCGCATTCTCAGACCGTGCGCCGCAACGTTTCGAAAAGTTTCGACACGGCCGAGTTGCCGGACTCGTTTCGAACCGGGCTCTGGATGTTACCGATTAGATTGCTTCTCCCGGGATCCACGTACTTCGTGGTAACGATATGGTCGAGCACGAGTCAACCGGGGCCAGCTATTTGCGAACAGCACCGAAGACGATTCGTAGCTCGAAGTTCTTGCTCGAGGACTTTGGACGCTCGCGAATCCATCGATGAATGAACGATAGCGATGCTGTTCTCTGCTTTGGATCTCCATTTTGATCAATCTTTTTTTATACATTTTCTATACAAAAAGCTAGTAGAAAGGATCGCGTGCTTAGTACTAAGTTTACTTAGTGCTCCCTTTCTCGATCGATTTTTAACCGCTGAAGAAGCTCTTTGAAAGAGACTCGAGATAAAATGACGATGCATCTTCCTTTCCAAAGCTTCGCCGTATCGTTACCTCAAGATATAGCTAGCGTGTACTGTTTATGTTTAACCATTGCCACCTTTCTACCGCAGATCTCCGTTTCACCGGACAGCAGGAACACCTCGTGGGTGTCCTTCGACGGTAGAAATAGACAGGAGCTCTTCCACGGCGACAGGTAAACATTTTGTCTGACTTGTCTAATCGTCGGCGTTTTCTCGCAATTGTTCCAGATTATGGCAAACAGCAAGGCCCGTAGCACAGCTTACGTCTCTTTCGATGGTCGTAATCAGCAAGAATTGCGCGTCGGGGATAGGTCTGTTTAATTTTGTAAAAAGAAAATCAAACAAACAAACAAGCGAACAAACGAATCAAAAAGAAAGGAACAAATACCAGAGAAATATCATCTCTCGTCTTTCATCTTTACTCTCATAAACGACAGGTTGCACGACGCTGCAACGTTACGTTACGACTCACACATACACACATACACACACCGTCATTCATCTATTTAAATTCCGTTCCTCTTTTTTGTCTCGCATTTAACCGACTTCACGATCTCTCTCTCTCTCTCTCTCTCTCTCTCTCTCTTTCACTCTTGGTATTGGCTTTTTCTATTTCTCTCTCGGGTCTCTCTTTATCTCCGTCGATACACGTCCGTTTTTAACGTCTTTCCACGACTGTTTCTCTGCCACTGTTTAACATGATTCTTTACTCGTTCGAATCGACCGATCGCGTGTTTCATTCGCTGCATTTTTCCGTCTCGTCGTTCTGCTCTTATTAACCCCTTGCCTTGCTATTCGATTTCGAAATACTTGCAATTTCTGTGTCACACACGTTAGCTTATGACCGGACTGCGGAACTTCGTGCTTTCGTAACGAGCGAAAGATCTCTTTCCGATCGGAGATATTAAATTAAAAATATCCGCACGGTTGTGCCATGAACGCACGAAGATCCGCGGTCCGTTTGCAACGACAGATACAAAACGCGGCATCGCTAAGAAGCAAGGCGTTGACGTCTCTCTAGCCGTACGATCAACCCCCTGTCTCCTCTGTTTTCAGCCTAAGGGTGACCACGTCCGTGTACCCGGTGCCCAGCATCTGCGCAGCCGACCAAATCACCGACTGGTTCGACTCGCTAGCGGAATGCCTGCATTGGAACGTCCGCAAGAAGCAGAAACACCTGGACGAGCTGAGCGACCTCACCCATTCGTCCAGCAACGACACCCTGGACTCGCTGGATCGCGACAGTTAGGCCAGGCAAGCGAGTCCCGACGGGCTCTCCGTCGTCGAACCAACCTCCGCGCCGTCGTCGGCTCGGAGCCCGTCGAAAGGCTCGACGATTCGTCACAGAAACCAGACCGTTCGTTCGTGCGGAGACGATCCGCAGCTCTGGATCGCCTGCTTGCGCGTTTCTATGAGCAATTGAGTCGTGCACGATGCTCGGACCTCTGTTTAAACATTCGAACGCGACGTCTCCGGGTCTGGGCGACACGGCCGGGTGCGTGCACTTTGCCCTCTCAACGTCAGAACGCTCTGACGTTCTCGATCTTATGACCCCAAGGCTATCTGTATCTTCCCATTTACGTGGAACAGGTGTGACCTGCCAGTGAGAGAGAGCGGGGCTTCGTGCCCTCCCAGAGAGCGATCGGTGCTCATGCCAAGGTTTTTCGAACTTGCGACGCTTGACTGTTCGCCAAAACAATGCTCTCGACGAGAGCACAATTTTTCTTGATCTCTTCCATCGAAACGAGCAATCGTTCGATTCAGCGAATTTCTACGGAGCATCGTCTCGTCGAGCTGGCCCGAAACGGCGACGAAATGGATAGCGTTCCGCGCGTGTAAATAGAAGCAATTCGGTTTTTTATCGGACCCTCTGTACATATACCCAGAATTCAACGCACCCTCTAACAGCCGTGAAGGTTAATCGTCTAAGAGAAATCGTTCGGCACGATCGGCCGACAATCGGAATGGTTAAACGGAGCCGAAGAGCATTTGCGTGCACGATGCGGATACGAGCACGTTTGCGAGGCCGTTTCGCGAACGGCTCCGAAGTCTCGTAGCCGAGTAATATCGAGTTGTCTTTAATTGTGCGAACGCGAAGCGACCGGAGCCTCGCATGGACCATGATTAATAATGTATATGCTTGTGATCCGCGATTCAAAAGATCGCGGCGATCGACCCCCGATTCGACCGATAGAGCGAGAAGAATTTATTGTCCGGGCACAACAGCTTTCGCGCGAAAAACCGGAGACCCGCAAGGGGGAAGTGCATCGCGTGTATTCTTTCGCTTCTGTGCGTCTAGAAGCACGTTCCTGTTCGCGATGTGCGAATTTTCGGGAAAGGAAAAAAGCACAACGGGACGCTGGACTGCGGATTCGTGATATTATTGTTTTCAACGAAATTGAATCGATCGAGAATTTAAGCGCATCGAAGATGTCAAAAAGAATTGGAAGAGGAAATTCATTCCTATTTCGAACCGATGATTCTTATGATTTTGACGATTTTAATTACGCGTGATAATCCGCAGCCTAATAAGGCGAGCAATCGTACTCGCAGAGTCGCGAGAGTTTTCTTCGCTGTGTTCCAGTTTCTGACTGTAGAAATACGTCGCGGATCATTCTGAAAAATTCTCGTCGAATCCTTACTGAGCCAATTCGCAGTTCTATGTACGGGGAAATCGGTTTTCTTTGTTGTCGTAAAAAAAAAAATAATGCGCCGCCCGCTGCTCGGATGGAGGAAAATTCGTTTTTGTTAAATTGAACAGGGATATCGGGCGACGCGTCTTCAAAGTATTGCGCGCTAGGAATGGAAAGACAATATCTTACTGCCTCTGTATTTTAACCGAGCGATTTCAATAGCAAATTAACACTCGCGATCGAAGCTCTGAGGGATATAGAAAAGAACAAAAAAAAAAGGAAAAACGTTCCAAAAGTCGCACGGTTTCATTACTTATTTATTGTACGTTACTCGATGCATTTCAATGCCGCCGATTTATGCGAATTTGTACTCCGTACGGACGCGTGCAAATTCCGTCTCTACAAGCGACATGCTGATTATTGGCAATGCACACAAGGATCATCGACTATTATTATTATTATTATTATTAACTATTATTATTATTACTACAGACGAAAAAAGACGAGTGAAGTCGTTGTCTGGTAGTTTTAAGTTTCGACAACGAACATGGACTAACCGTGGATCATCCTGTTGTAAATGTTGAATGTACTGTTCTATAAATGAGAATTTTTAATAAAATCATTTTTATACAGAATCGGTCCTCGTTGTCCTCGGGATTGCACTCGTATTCGGAACGTAGAAAAATAGTACGTATAATGAGCGGGTTAATAAGATGTGGAGATCGTGAGAAAGACGGCGAAAAAAGCGGTGATAAAATTACGAATAATAGTAAAAACGGCTAAACTATGGATAGAACGAATGCAAATCTGGTGGAAGTGAATTACAACGCCGCATAAGATTTGCAACGGTTTATCCGATGTGACATATGTAAATGTACGACGTCGTGGAAATTGGAGGAATAGGAAGAAAAATCCGAGCTAATTGATAAGACTAGTTGGTTTTAGGCAACTATTGTTACATCTACGAATACTCATTATTTCATGCGATCGCATGCGCGTCAAACAATTGTTTCAATCAGGGATAAACGCTATTACTCATAGGTACACTGCAGAATTTCAAGCCAGCAGAGGTCAAATTTAATGAATTTCCACGGAGGGACAAGGTCATTAAAATTCGACGTCAATGCATTTATTTCTGCGCAATCAGATAATTAAATATACATTATATACAGTGATTGTGTAAAAGTTACATCAGCTGGTTTTCCTTAGTTTCGTTGGACACTCGCATAATGATAAGTAGCATAAGTTTCTTGGGTGAACCAATGTGTATTATGTTTATAAAGTGAGAGAAGCTCTTGGCGCAGCTTTCTGCTGCATTAGTCTCTAATTAGACTGCAGGTCTTTATGCACTCGTTGTTTTTATTAATCTTGCAGTGTCATCAAAGTGCATCGGTGAATGCAATTTAATATTGAAACAATGAGTTCGCAATGTATAGACAATACAATCCATTACCGTCGTAAGACCACTCTGCGCTATGCGTACGATCTATCGCAAGGCGCATCTAGCAAAAGCTAAGTAGCGCTTTGTCTAAGAAACACAAATGATTCTCAGAGAATCATTTGGTACCGAATCGTCCCGTAATCGATGCAAATTCTTATTGAAAGAAATTTCTATGGAACAATGCGATACAAAAATATTTCTTTCGTCTCACGAATTGCTGCAGCAGAGTGTCAGCGTATAATTACTACATTAACTAACCGATTACTCAACGCCTGCGTAGCTTAAGTCCACCAGCCACTGTAACAGTGCATAACCACCCACAGTCTACCAATGACAACGGTTCCTCGTTGCCGAGTCTCACCCATGATCTAAACTAGAGGGCCATAAGGGCAGCCTGTTCCTTAACTAATAAGTATGACATAAATATCTACCTCTAAGGATTGACATTTGGTTACATCAGTCATGGGCACGACCTGCTGCACACAACGTACACACACGTGCCGTACAGCCATCGCTTGGCGTGCATATGCGTGGGTGCGCGTGCATAGAGGTCAACGAACATAATCTAATCAACTTAATCCGCCTATCGACGCGGCTCCGCTGATATTTACATTGTTAAATCGTTTAACATTTAAACGTTAAATGTTAGCCGGAAAAGCGACGCGCTAACCGGTTTCGACCGGCCTCGTACCGGGTACACCGTTTAATCAGGATTAACTATAGTTGACTTACCGGCTACTGCACTTAAATAACGCGCTTCCTCTCTTTAAGTTAGTACAATGCGAAATCGACACAGTCTGTCCTGGACTCTTTCGGGAAAGGACCTCTCGACAGGACGAAATGAAACGCTGCAACATGCGATCCGTAATCCGCGATCTGCGATCCGCAACCACGCCAACCATTGTCCAGCACTCTGCGGCCATTGGGGTCGGTTCGAATTTCGTATCTGTTCGAAATGGTGGCGCCGTAAAACGCTTCGGAAAACAACGGAAGTGTCACTAGGGGGCGCGACGTGTTTCAAACGTGTAAAAAGAAGAGGAAAAAGTATCCTGGCTTTTACAACGATGCACGGTAGATTAATCTATACTAGGAAAACGATCGATAATTTAATCGACCGCTTTCTCGACGACTACTTAACTTAAAAAGTCACTGCAATCGACGAACGCTCGGAGAAACTACCTAAATCCACCACGATTCAGGTTCTCCACCGGTTCTCCCGCGCTTCAACTGGGTACGCGTTTAATTTCCAAACGCTCCAATTAATCAAACGGACCTCCGTCTTTTCCCGTTCTCTCGTCGTCGGTTCGAATAAATTACGTTGCTAACGATTGTTCATGTTTGCTGTTGCGTGAACATTTTAGTGCCTACAGTTCACGTACGTCACTCTTTCACCGTTCACGACACGAACATAACGAGCACAGGCTCGGAGGAAAAGTGCAGGTACGCGCTGGTCTGTAAAACGAAACGAAATTACAATTAGTATGATTAATCAGTTATGATTCTCGAAGAAAAGTAATCCTTGGAAATATGTTCCATCCGTTACGAGACCAAGAACAATTGTCGGTAATGTACCGCATTTTGTTTCAACATTTCAGATTTTAAACGCGAACCTGAAGTTCAAGTTACCGAATTTTGCTAGTAAAGAAAGGATTACATTCAACTGTTATGCAGCTAAACTTATTGAATTGAAATCTTCGAGCATTTGAAACAACGCGAATTTGAATTTGAATTTGAATTTTCCAGACTCTAAATCGAAGAAGCTGATCAACAGGTCTCGATAGGATTGCGAATGGTCATCGTCAAACTGTGCAAAAAAACCGTACAGCATCGCCAATAAACAATCGCGATCGATCGCGACGTCGCGTTCCTGGATCGATTATTGTCCAACCAGGTGTGTTACGGCACACGGTGTTAAGTATCACTCAAAAATGCACAAGCAAACATTCCAGATCGGAGTTAGTATTGTTAGCGCACACACTCACATGCCTTCTGATCCGTGGCTTGTTCCGTGCAGGATGGTTGTTGGATGTAGAGGGCTGGTTTCAGTGGTCGTCCGTCTTGATCCTCCACGAGAACGACCAATCCGTGGTTGCTTCCGGTTCCATGGGAGTTTCTGGTGTTCAGTCGCCAGAATCGCAGACTTTGTCTGACGTCCATGGCCAGATGGGTACCTTCCGGGGTCAACGGGGTCACGACCGAGTCCATCAAACGTTTCTTCGCTGCAAGGACAAACTTGTGTAGCAAAACTTCAGGGATCAAGATCTCGCGATCGAGGATTTTTCACGGGCAGGTCGCGGCAAACTTACATCGATGCTTCTTCAAGGACTTCGTGTAGTAGTAGACGGATATTCTGATCTTCTTCTCGTCTTCTTCGTCCTCTTCGAAGGTGCCTCCGGTCGACGAAGTCAGGTTCTCTTGGGGTAGCTTGAAGATCCTCAGTTTTGCAGCGACCACGTGATCGCTGGACGTTAGGTTCAGCTGGAAGTGCATGTTCATCGTGTACGGGTCCGCCCAGGCGTCCTGGTCCGTGTTCCTTGGTACTTGGCCTGATCGAGAGGACGAATAGGATCAAATATTCATCGCGACTCCGATTAAGCGACAATTGCGGGGTGCGCTAAACCGATGGCGTTCGAATCGCAGATGTCTCGACGATTCTATTCGATCGGACATCTGATTTTAGCGCAACCCGCGTAATTGGCAGAACCGATTCGACTCACAGCTAGGAGAAAACATGGTCAGCCTCTGCCGTTGCACCTGATTCGTGCTCCCGCTATTGTTCAACCGTCCCGTTAGGGCCAGGACCCTCGATTTAATGTCCTCGATGGCCTTCTCGCCTTGGCTGCACAGACAAACGAGCCTCGTTTAAATAAAAACATCGTCGAGCATCGGGCGTCGAGAAAAAAAAAGCTACAAAACCCATGACAATGACCAAGCTATGTTCCGCCAAATGAGACACCATACAAAAATTCAAACGACACGCCGAGAGGCACCCGGACACGAACACGCGATCAAAAGCATTCCGTATTAAAAGCCAGGATCGGGCGTCGTTTTTCTAACGCGTCGTGGAAATTTTCACCTCGCGTTGCATGCAAGTTCTTCCGGGTGGCGGGACAGGCCATTGGACGGTGGTCAGTGACCTATAGACTCTACGCGGTATGGGTCAGAGATATTTATTATCCGTTCTAGACGTTGGCTAGACAGCGAGGGCATTGGTGTAACGATCATCTAATCTATCCATCTACCCGAGAAGCATTAACACTTCGCGCCGTCGCGTCTCAAGCCTTTTCCGACGACCAGCCGCCTCAGCGACCACATTCCTCATCGACGAAACGAATTTCAAACCTCTTCGGGTAATAGAAAATCTACGACGGTCCGCCAGGATCGTTCGGACTCTTCGAAGTGCTAGGAAAATCAGGACAGGACGTCGAGATCCACCGGGATCCTTTAAATTCCTATCGCAATACTTGCGAATACTTGGCTCTCTGCGACAACGATATTCCTCGTTGACGAGACGATTTTGTAAGATCTCGAGGTACCACGAAGTCGACGATAAGACGTCAGGATCGTTCCTCCTCGGCGAAACGACACGCAAACTTTTCGAAGTGCTGGGAAAATCGGGACACGTCAGGATCTCTAAAGACCGAGGTGCTCTCTACAGTTCTATCAGACATTTTTTACTCGAAGCATCCAGGAACATTCGTAGAACTCTTTCGGTCCTTCGAGCAACGTTGCTGCCTACCGACGAAACAATCTCCGAGCCCTTCGTGGCAAGAAAATCGGAATAGGTCAGCAGAATCCCCTAAACTGGCATCAGCATCTATCTTTCCGCAAGCGGCGGGACGCGCGCGCCGTAAACTCGACGGCCGAGGCAAGCGGCGGATCAGGTGAGATTACGGGATTGCATAATGACGTCTGTGAGTCGTTAACCGAACCGGGGGAGGGGGAGAAAAAAAAGGAGGAGCGTCGTTGCCCTACGTCACAGGCAAGGATTGTGCTGCGTTGGACGCCCACACGGAGATTTGAGCGCAGCCAATGGCGCGTCAACGACCTCGTCGCTGGCCGAGAAACAAAAGTCGCTTTTTTTCCAGGGAACGAGACGACGGCCAGACAGACAGGATGTCTAGGAGGATGGTATAGTCGAGGAGAAAGAGAAACGGAGGGAGATAGAGATAGATAGATGGATAAAGATGGAGGGAGAGAAAGAGAGAGGGAGAGAGAGAGAGAGAGAGAGAGAAAGGGAGACAGAGAAAGAGAGGTGAAGGCGAACGTGGAGGAATTTCGGTGACCCTATCCTGTTGGCCTGTCTCATTCCTTTCCTTCCAGGAACTTGGACAGGAGCGGCAGGCCAGGCGAGAGAAGCACCAGCAGACCTGGCCACCGCTGACGAAATCTCCCCACGAAATCTCCTCCACCGGCTTGTATACGATTCTAGACATGCTCGTTAATCTAGCTGCGTCCAAGTCACGCATTCTACACCGTCTCGTTGCGTACGTGTCACGTCTGTCTGCCGTCTGGGAAAGGGAAGGACTCGGGTGTCTGGAGGCCGTTGCATCATGAGAATGAATCCGGTGATCCTTGCCGAGTACCGTATCGAGAAAATCGTCTGCTACCGCCATCGTCGAGCCGACCTTTCTCAAGCTCTTTCTCCAAGAAATCCCGGTAACCGACGATTTTTCTGCAGCCAAGCCAATCTCGCTTCAGCCCCTACCCCTGACACCTCCCCATTTATTTAAGCAGACGTTATTCGACAACGACGACGATCGTGCGATAACATCGTGCGGATTACGCGAAGTTCGCCTTGATACAGCTCGCACGAACGGCTTCGTTTTCCATCTTTATTTCGACAACCGTATGGTAAAGTTCAGACGGCGAAACGTGAAGGAAAATAGCGAAAAGCGACTACAGTAATGTCTCCCTTACCGACGCTCGGATTGTCCACTAAAATGGATAATTTGGGAGGAGGCGATACGATTATTAATTGTGGCTCGAATAATCGTATCTCCTCTTCCCAATTTGTCCATTTTTGTGGTCGATCTGGGCGTCGATTAGAGAGTCATTGCTGTATCGCGTTGGCAGAAGTTACGAAAGCGGGTGCAGGGTCAAAGAGGTCAGCTAAAGACGGTAGCAACCGCGCAACATTGACGGAACGGAGAGGAGCGTCAGAATTCCGCGAACGGCGGGGAAACTGAAAATAGAAAAGCAATTCCGTGATTCACGGTTCCTATAATTGTCCCGGCGAAAAAGTCAGCCCGAGGAAGACCGCGAGGGGCTTAGGCCCAGATAGAGATCAGAAATACCGCGGGGTGAGAATCGTTGGCACCCGGGGGGGTCGTGGCCCCAGGAAAAAGTGGCCCCGGCATTCCGGCGAGTAACCGCGGGAACCACCGTGCACCGACGCGATTCAAGCACCACCGCCGAAAAATGCACGGTTGCATCGCGTCTGGATGCACTTTGGTGGGGGAGAGCCACTGTGTGAAAACTTCCTCCTCTCTCTTCGTCGGTTGCGCGTCTCGCCCTCTCCGTTCGCATAGGAAGAGAGACGCATAGACAAGGTCAGCGCATTAAATTCAAATGTGTTACATAACCTCGTAAGAGAGCAGTCCTGACTGCAATCTGACTAGACACCCGGTGATTACGGGGGTGCTCAACTCTCATCTCGGGGCCAGAATCGCCGGTATTCTACGCTGCGTTTCGTTTAATCGAAATCTCTGCGATCCTCGGTGCAAGCTTAAACCGCTCCGAAATTTCACAAATGAATAAATAAACGCATCCGCAATTTTGCGGATCTTTTAGAAACAGTTCCTTGCGAATATTCGCGGAATTACGGAAGTTGTGGGATCGAGTCTGACCAAGTCGAGGTATTTCACGCTTTGAAGCAGCGTTTGGAGGAACTACGTTTTCCCGTTGGTTCTGCCTCATACTTCCCAACGAAAAAATTCATACACGTTTCCAAAACATTGAGGAAAATATCCTAGGAGTTTCAAGAAGATCCGCTTCCCGATCTTTTGGAAAAGTATCCGCGAAGCTTACCTCATTCTTAGTGGTTTACACCCTTAATCGTCGTACACTCGTTTTCCGTTTTCGACGCTGTCTCTTATGCCCATAGAAAATCGATCTATATACCATGAAAAATTTCAACAAATTTTGTCCAGAATTTCTAAAAGGACCCGAGCGAATAACGAAAATAAACGAAAGACTACGACAAAGGATACTCGATGCGATCGTTCTCAGGGAGCGTCGGAGAGGGTTAATGGGTTCCATGGTCGTCGAACGACACGTGTAACCCCTTCGTCTCCCCTATGGTCCCGGTTCGTTTGATGTTCTCGAAGTCGAGACGCTGGAAAATGTCGGACCGATTGAAAAACTGGTTCCCCGCCTATCTGTCGCCCGCTTATAGATCGTCGTGGATCCCCGGTGCTCGCACGCCGACCGAGAAATCCGACGGGCACACCGGAGAGAGGAGAACTCTCTTTCTTTCTATCTCTCTCGTCGAGCAAGCTACGCCAGTGCCGACACGAATGCATTTACGCGTCTAGACTTAATAAAATAAAAGAAACGCCTTCGCACCCGCGCGAAGAGGGGCCGCGCGAGGAGCAGGGCGATTTAAAAACATAGCTGAGGGTCCGCCGCGGAATTTCCACCGCGTGTCCTTCCTGGCTGGACTCCTTGTTCTCTTAGCAACCGCCTGGCACCCTCTGTTCCGCCCTTCTACCTGTGGCCAAACTTTCAGGATTTCGAGGCTTTTCTGCCACGACTTCTCTTCCTATGCTTACTTTTTCACAGGAAAGCCCTTGGAAACTAGACGCAAAAAGACGTCGTGCGTTTCCAACGCCGCGCGTCGACGTTAAATATTGTTTAATATCATCAGAAAATATACGACGCGTCTATTTAGAATTTCTACCAAATAAATAATATTTAAAAATAAATCCCAGAGTATTTTTTAAAACGATAAAATGCTCGTGCCAATTTATCCAACAACTATCCCTTGCTTTCCGAGTCTTTCGTTTAACTCTTCGATGTACAATTTCTATTTGAAACGACGAAACATTTGAACGATTTATAACGTGAAATGTATAATACGTCTTTGTAATTTATCGAACGTATTCAATAAACGAATCGGCAAGAAAGCCGTTCAAAATAGGTCGGCTCCTTTCACGAATTTTTACGGCTTTCACAGGGCTTGGAAATTCCGTAGCTCGTTAAAATGGACAAGGATGGATTTAGCTCGTTTATTTTCGGACTTAGCGGTTTTCGGTGCGGCCGACGAAGGGTTTAGGGCAAATCGGCAGTTGGTCAGCGGGAGCCGCGGAATTTCGTCGGCGGTTCCCGGCTCTCGGTTTCGTCACGATATTTTTACAGGCCATCGAGATATTTTTACGTGCCGGGGGCAACGATTTGCCCGGTGGTCCTCGTGTTCGTCTGCACGGCTGGAAAACCGTTCGAGTTTTTCTCGTCGCGATGATCGAGGGACGGAGGCTCAAACAGCAAGAAGCAGAAACAGAAAGAGGGAGAGGGAGAGAGAGAGAGAGAGAGAGAGAGAAAGAAAGAGAGAGAGGTAGAGAAAATAAGTGGTGTTACCTTTTTCATGCAGACACAACACGCAGCGCACGAGAAAAGGAGTCTGGTCGTTATCGCGCGAAATCGCGGCCCGTGCAACACGAGCAATGAGATAACTGCGATGAGAATGTATTTTTAGATTATGCAAGCGAAGCCAGAAAGAAAGCGGCCGGCCGCAGGGCTCGGCGAAAAGAAAAATCAAAAACCGAAAAGCCCGCGGGCGAGAGAAGAAATAAAGAAAAAGAGAAAGAAAAATCCGTGTTCGTAATCGGCAGACCGAGTCCCTTACCCGAAAAGCGATCATCTGGGGCCGGTGCTTACCTGTCGAAGCTTGAGGTTAGCTTTCCTCTAGAAGATACAAAAAGCACATTTCGTGAGACTAATCTAGTATAGCGAAAGCGGGACGCAGCATGAGCGTGAACCTACGAGAACTTGTCCTCCGTCTCTCCGAGGTTCTGCGTCCGAGTCTCTCGGACATTCACCGTCCACGATCGGAAGCGAATTCGAATTCGAATCGACTGGCTATCAGAAGCTCCGGAGGCGGAGGACCAGAGGCCGGAGACAGCCGGAGGATCGGATCAAAGCGTCTACTTACTCTCGGCGGTGAGCTATCGCCACCTGCTGATAGCTGGTCAGGTTCGCCAAGGGAATGTAGCTGGCGGAGATGTTGTTGTTGGCGATGAACAGTTTGATGGAGTCCGGCGTGTCGTTCTGGTACTCCAACGTGTCGTTCTCGGTCTCCTCCGTGGTCCAATTGCGGCGGAGATCGCGGCCAGTGTCCTCGTAGTCCGACGACAACGTCTCGTTGTCCCCGCTATTTTCGAAGCCGAGGGAGTCCACGAACTCGGGCAGCACCCTGTAGACGTCGTCCTCGACCCACTCGAGTCCCTCGTACTCGCTGACCTTCCTAGTCCTATCCTGCTCCTCTTCGAGCTTCGTCTCGTTGCTCGGGCTGGTCGTCTGAACAACGTCTTCGGGGCTGGAGAGGTCGTCGGATGAGCTACCGGCGACTTCGAGCGACTTCGCGGAGTCGGTGCTGCTCGCGACAGGGACTGAAGCGCTGGTGGAGCGAGGCATCTGTTGGTCCTGGATGCTGTTGCTCAGCTGACCGACCAGAGGAAGTGGCAGGGAACCAGCAGGAGCAGCAGCAGCAGCAGCGGAAGTCGGTGTCGCCGTAGGAGATACGTGAAAGGAGCTGGCCGAGCTGGTCCTCGAAGCGGCGTGTTTCGAGCTAGGGACGCGATGTTTCCGGCGACTCTTCTCGTCGGAGCCGGAGCTCGAATCGAACTCGGAGTCGTCGTAGCGGATCTTGAAGACCACGTGCGGAGCCATCGCCCTGTCAAACTCGCGGCGCACGCTCTCGTCCTCTTCAGAATTCGCCGGCTCCTCGAAGTCCAGGCTCGCCTCGGACCTCGACTGCTGGAATTCTAGGTTCGTCGGCAGGTTCTCGTAGTCGAGGATCGCCTGCCGGTTGTACGCCTCGAAGTCGAAGTCCTTGTAGGATGGCCTGTCCGCGTGGCGGTGCTTTTTGCCGTCGGCCCTCGGCTCCATGGAATTCTGTTCCCAGTATCTGGGCCGCTTCTCCCCGCTTTCGCCGTAGAAAGCTTTCGTCCAGGACCTGGAGTCCTTTCTCCTCGCCTCCTCGTCCTTCTTCTTGCCCAGCTCCCGTTCGCGAATCGCGAGCACCTCCTCCAGGCTGTAGTTCAGGCTCTTCAGCAGCAGCATGTCGCCGGCGCTCAGATCGCCGGTGATGATCTTCAGGATAGCCTTCTCCAGCATCTTCTCCAGCCTGCGGTCGCTGTACGGCAGCTTGTCCTTCGTTTCCTCGCCGGCCAGGCTCCTCCTGTTCTTCTCGCCTAACGAGGAGATCGCGTTCATGTCCTCCGACCTCCTGTCTTGCTCCACCTGGTCCTTCCTCCTCCTGTCGTCCGCGTGGTGATGGTGGTGACAGCAGACGCCGTCCAAGGCGCACACCGCCAGCAGCAGTACCAAACACCTGGCGAGCTTCATCGTGCCCCGAAGGTTCCGTGGATCGCGATAATCGACCGTAATATCTGCCACTCGTAAACGTCTCGCTCGAGTCTCTTTCACTGTGCTCTCGATCCGTCAAACAACTGTCATCGACGAAGCGTGTCCTCCATGTCACTGATCTTGGAACGTTCCGACGCGAACACGAGCGGCTGGTTAGACGATTGGTTAGACGGTTGGTTAGGCTAATCGCATCAGGAAGGCGCGAGCAGGAAAGAGATCCGTGGCACGCGTGTGCACCGGCTGAGCAGTAAGTATCAACTGAGCGGCGGTGCCGGCCTGCTCACAGACATAATTCTGTCTACTCACTAATTCCGAGACAAGCACGAACCCGCGAGAGCCGACCGGCGCGCGGCATTACTACGATCACTGGTTCTTATTTTTTTCCGTCGTCCTCGCTCGTTTCTTCCTTCTTCTCGTTCTCCGAGGGCCTCCTTTCTCTTTCTCTCGATGCCGCTCGATGCCGCTCGATCCGTACGATCAGCTCGATCCGCTCGATCCGCTCGATCCGCTCGCCGGCGAACTCCACCCGCCGAGCCGCGCCGCGCCGCGTCTTTTACGTTGTCCCTTTCCCTCGCTCGCCGAAATCCGACTGCGTTTTCTCTCTCTGGTCCGCGACGCTTTATCTCGCGGTTTCTTCTTCGCGTCTTCTTCGTCTTCTTCCTCCTTCCCTCGGTGTCCGGTCGCCTTTTCGCGGCGCGATAGAGGCCTATCCGCTTCTGCACGCTTCGACACCGCGTGCTGCCGCGCTTCTTCGCCTCGCTCTCGCGCTTCCGGCGAACACAACACCGCGTGCACCGCTTCGCCGTGTTCCACCGGTACCTCCACCTCCTCCTCGACCTCCTCCTCCAACTCCTCGACCTCCTACTCTTCTTCCTCCTCCGTCAACCACCGTCGCGTCGCCTCCTCTTACACCTCCTCCTTCTCTTCTTCTGCCTCTTCTTCTTCTTCTTCTTCTTCTTCTTCTTCTTCTCCTTCTTCTTCTTCTTCTTCTGCCTCCGCTTCTGCTTCGACTTCTGCTTCTGCTTCTTCCTCTCGATTCGTAGGCAGGCCTCTCGGCGATTCCTTCGATTACTCACCCGACACCGCACGGAATTTACTTTCTTTTTCCTTTCTTTGCTCCTCCGTCTCTCTCCTCTTTCTCTCCTCTTTCTCTCCAGCCAACGGCACCACCACCAGCGTTCGCTCCGACCGTCTCTTCTCTCCTCTCTTTCGCCGTTTGTCTGACCGTCTGTCTGTCTGGTCGACCCGATGCACCGCCGATAGACCGGAGTGCGGTATGCTCCTTCACCGGGCCCAGCCTTCCAAGATCTTTATCGAGCGCGCGACAGTCTGCATACTGATCCTTATCGGTGATCCTTTCACAATTCAGGAGACTCCACGCTGTGTCCTTTCACCGGCCAGACCCCGGCCGTCGTTCGATTCGGTGGCGAACCGAGGATTCGCAGTCTTCCCGGAGCCGCGATCCTCCGGATCCTAATTGCTTCTGGTCCGGGTGTGCTAATTGGTGGTAGGACGTTCGAAAGGGACGCACTGGCTAGGGGTTGGTCGACGGGGATGGGGACTTGGACGTGGACGCCGGAGAGGAAAACGAATCGGCGTACGGAGGCGCGAGAAATGATCGAACCGGGCACCTTGTATTCGGCTGCTCGTTTCAGGGGCAGCCGCACACGACTTTATAGGGTGTCTCCCTCTCCGACGTCTAGACGAATCGAAAGATATGATCTTTGAATCATAATGTATCGCTTTTAATAAATGCAGCCTCCGCGTGCGTGCGTGAAAATACGATGCGTGGCAACGCACGTCGACGACGGGGCCCAAAAAGAAGAACGGGAACGAGGAAAGAGGGGAAACGGACGGAGAGAGAGAGAGAGAGAGAGAGAGAGAGAGAGAGGGACGGAAAGAGAGAAACGCGCCGGAGAGAAGCCGGCAAAAATATGCGCGACCGAGATCAAATCGCCGGCGAAGGGAAACCCCTCTGTACCGAAGATTTTTCACTCGGTCTTCTCTCCTTTCTTCTTTTATTCGCTGCCGGAATTCGATCATGGCTCCTCCTCCGCGAACTTCTTGATCAGGTTCGTTCTAATTCGCAGCCTTTCTTTCGTCGGTTCGCAGAGCGGAGTACGCCCCAAGTCGTATCCCTTGCTCCACGAATTTCTTCGTCGTGTGCCATCGAACGAAATCCATTCTTCTCGCGACAGTGTGCTTGAATTCTTTCCATATATTCACAATTTTGTCTGCGCGAACTTCAGCGTCCAATAATTCGTACCAATTTAGTAGGTACAGTAATGTCTCCCTTACTGACGCTCATATCGTCCACTAAAATTGACAATTTGGGAAGAGGAGATACGGTTATTCGAGCCTTGCGGCTCGTTTTTATAATTGTGGACAATTTATAACTATAAAAATAAACCGCAAGGCTCGAATAATCGTATCTCATCTTCCCAAATTGCCCATTTTTGGGGTCGATCTGGGCGTCAATTAGAGAGACATTACTGTATCATGGAAATATCCACCCTCGGAATCTTCCGCAATCAAAGCAATTTGGTCCCATCGATTAATTTGAAGAATTAATTTGTCCAAATACCGTTTGTTGAGCGATGAGCGACCACGACCGATGGAACGGGAAAGAGGAAAAGGCCGGAGAAATGGGCGCCGCGTAATTAGTTGGAATGCTTAGGAGGGGGAGGAATCTGCATTTTCGGGCGGGGCCCGATCGGAATCGTGGCGGGGCCCGGCACGAAAATTGGGTTAAAGGATTCGGCGAGACTGAACCTGTCCGGTCGTCTAACGGTGGACAGACATTGGCCATGCGAGCGTCTGCCGTCGAAAATAAATCGCTCGCGGCAGACGGGAATGTGTCACTGCTGAATTTGCCGGAAGCGTTTGGCTTCTTCTATCTCCGGGGTCTGTCCGATGGCTGCTGTTGCTTTCACGGGGTTCTCGAATCATTTGCCGAAACTGTACAATCAACCGATAAGATTANGAAACCCCTCTGTACCGAAGATTTTTCACTCGGTCTTCTCTCCTTTCTTCTTTTATTCGCTGCCGGAATTCGATCATGGCTCCTCCTCCGCGAACTTCTTGATCAGGTTCGTTCTAATTCGCAGCCTTTCTTTCGTCGGTTCGCAGAGCGGAGTACGCCCCAAGTCGTATCCCTTGCTCCACGAATTTCTTCGTCGTGTGCCATCGAACGAAATCCATTCTTCTCGCGACAGTGTGCTTGAATTCTTTCCATATATTCACAATTTTGTCTGCGCGAACTTCAGCGTCCAATAATTCGTACCAATTTAGTAGGTACAGTAATGTCTCCCTTACTGACGCTCATATCGTCCACTAAAATTGACAATTTGGGAAGAGGAGATACGGTTATTCGAGCCTTGCGGCTCGTTTTTATAATTGTGGACAATTTATAACTATAAAAATAAACCGCAAGGCTCGAATAATCGTATCTCATCTTCCCAAATTGCCCATTTTTGGGGTCGATCTGGGCGTCAATTAGAGAGACATTACTGTATCATGGAAATATCCACCCTCGGAATCTTCCGCAATCAAAGCAATTTGGTCCCATCGATTAATTTGAAGAATTAATTTGTCCAAATACCGTTTGTTGAGCGATGAGCGACCACGACCGATGGAACGGGAAAGAGGAAAAGGCCGGAGAAATGGGCGCCGCGTAATTAGTTGGAATGCTTAGGAGGGGGAGGAATCTGCATTTTCGGGCGGGGCCCGATCGGAATCGTGGCGGGGCCCGGCACGAAAATTGGGTTAAAGGATTCGGCGAGACTGAACCTGTCCGGTCGTCTAACGGTGGACAGACATTGGCCATGCGAGCGTCTGCCGTCGAAAATAAATCGCTCGCGGCAGACGGGAATGTGTCACTGCTGAATTTGCCGGAAGCGTTTGGCTTCTTCTATCTCCGGGGTCTGTCCGATGGCTGCTGTTGCTTTCACGGGGTTCTCGAATCATTTGCCGAAACTGTACAATCAACCGATAAGATTATTCGTACTCTGCGGGGCGAACATTGTTTCAGCTCGACCGTCGACATTAGCCGAAGGCGACGCGGATGAAAGTGTCCCGAAGATCTCGGCTCGCTCGTCGCACCAAATTTCGAGCAATCTTGGTCCAACTTGGGAACGGTCTTTCGGCGCTAGACGAAGATGAAAGCGTCCGAAAGGAGGACATTCCGGAGCTATTCTAATTAGTCCATTGGTGCTCGGACGATCTCGGAGGGATGCTTCGTCGCGAGGTGAACATTTCCAGCGTCGAAGCTGCAGATTACTCCGACGATCCAGTTCCGGCAGACGGCATAATCGAGCGCATGGTGTGCACACGATGCACACACGTCCACGTGACGCGAACAACGTAGGGATCTCGTGGCATCCCTGACGGGGGCCCGACAAGGACGACGGACGGGTGTTACGAGAGTGCAAACAACGGTTTGATGGCGAGGCAAGGCCCCGGCGCGTTATTTATTTTGGCACGTCTAGACGCCAGATTGTCTGTCCGTACGTCCGAATCGCGACGGACTGTTCGGAGGTGACGTCAGAGACGGGCTCTCGTTGCATCGTCGAGATTCTGCCATCCTCCGCGTCCTCCTTCTCTGTCCCGTGTCCATCCCGTCGCGTCGCTCGCTCGTCGCCCGTTGCTTTCTTCGCCTCGCCGCGCCGATTCGATCGTTTTTTTTTCTCGATTGACGTATATTTAAATGCGTGCACGTGTCTCTCTGCGCTGCGTGTCCCATTGGTGTCCCAGGGCCGATGGGAACGCGCGGGAACCTCGCGTCGCGGAACGAGGTTGACAGCGAGGCGGCGCGGCGCGGCGCGCGGTGACGGGATGCAAACACCGGTGCATCGATGCGAATGCATCGGGGGTGGAACCGAGTGGCCCTCCTCCCCTCCGCGGTTGTTCGCCGATCTGCTTACAGAGCCACGATCGTTTGCTCGGCTCGGCCAAGAAGTCTAGAAGATCTCGAAGGATCGCCTGCCGTTCGCGAATCATCGTTTACGCGAATCCGCAGCGATGCTTCGACGATTCCTTTGATCGAATCGAAATTGAAAAGTTCACATTTTGCCTTCCTTCTACATAATTATCGAGGACGGAATAATTTCGATCGGCGGTGAGAACGGTCGGATAAGAGGGGGTTTGAGAGAAGAACGAATTTCGAGCGTCGAGTCGACGAATTTCGCATCTCCGGCCATGATTTTGTCCCGGAGCTTTCAGGTTATCGCAACGTTCCTCTCGCAAGCTCCATGATCCCAAGGCTGTTAAGAAAGACAGGTTCGATGACTTTCTCTCGGACATCCCGGTTCCGTCGTCGGCAGTCCCCGTGACGTCAAACACCCAAACACAGCAGGAGAAAATAATCAGAATCAGTGTTCCGCCCACGCGCGGTACAATCCCGTTTATTTGTTCCCTTCGAAATTGTATAAACTCCGAAAAATAGGGGGCAAGGGAAGAGGAACGAAGCGGAGGAATAAAAGAGAGGGAGGAAGAGTCGTCGCGGCGCGGCGCGGCGTGGCGGGAGCTCTCGGAAGGGGGAGGACAGAGCGCGAAGACAGAGAGAAAAGGAAAAATGGAAATGGTGCAATTTGCATGGCTCGTACAGATCCCTTCCTCCCCCACCTGGAGGCAGACGGCAATCGAGATAAGGCGTACCTGGAATCCGGCAGGAGAGGCCCACCTTCTTCTTCTCCGGACTCTGGTCTCCGGTCTCCGGTCCTCGCCGGGACCTCGCCACTCGGCAGCGGTCTTCGTGGAACGGAGATTTGAATTTCGGATCGGATTGCGCAATCGCACCCACGCATAGGTGCACCCGTCCCGCCTCGTCTCGCCGCGTCTCGTCCCGTCTTCGACCGGAGAGATCGGCCGAAATCGAAAACACGCGTTCGTGCTAATCGACTCGGACACCGTTTCTTCGGAGTCCCCCCTTGCCCCTTTGTTGCCCCCGCGTCGTGTTTACCGGGCCAGCTAAAATATTCGGCACACGGGCCCCGTCTAGACGATCTCTAGCATTTAACCCGATCGGGCCCACGGAATTCTGACACGACGGTGCACGTGGCCGGGTGCTGTCGAAAGATTTAGGGTCACGTTCCCTCTTCTTCTCTGTTCGTTCACCAGTTGCTATTCCATTGGTCTCTCAACGATATAGAAACCAGCAGCAGCAGCAGCAGCAGCAGCAGCTTCACCGATTCTCTAGAAGCTCGGAGGATGAAACTACCCCCAAAAAATCGTAGACAATTTTCGTGGATGGATGGAGCCATCCAACAAGGGGTTTTGGAAGATTCTTTTCGACCGAAGCGCGCGAAGATTTTTCAGTATTTTCCTTAATTTTTGTTCATCGATTTTCCAGTAGACCGAACGTAATTCCGACGACGGAACCGAACTTTTCCGATGACCCAGTATGAAAATGATGATCTTGAAGATCGCACGAGCCTCGTTCTCCGTTCTCCTTCCTCGGACGCGTGTCGAGCGTCGAGCGTCGAGATAAATTCGATGCACGAGCTGTCGAGCTTTCGGAAGACGATCATCATCCCCGATAAAAAGGACATGGGAGCTGACGCGGAGAGACAATTAGAGGACAGAATCCGACACCGGCGCGGCGGGCTTCGAAGACGAGTGTCGCGTGCTGCGAGCTGCGAGCTGCGACGGATCAGAATGCGACTCGCATTCCGTCGCAAACGGTAGCCAGATGGAACCCTCGCCTCGGGGAGGAGGGGACCGAGAACGAGGAGGTGCGGCGCAATTATTTAGCCGGATCGAGGCCCGGGGAAGATTTAATGGTACCCAGAAGCCGCGGGTAGCCAATTAAAAATGCATTAGACCGTTGTCAGGAGGCTGAAATTACAGTGACCTATAAATTTATATTGTTTATGCACCGCGAACCAACAACAGATTCTCTCGATTGCACGGTCGGCTACCGAATGCTGCCGATTCGGAATATACGTATACGTCGAGCTCCACGGCGGAGGATTATTTAAATTGGACCATCAATTTTTCGCAGCTTCCTCGTACACAGCTCGTGTTTAGAAACGCACGCAGAATCCGTGCGGCTGCAGCGAAGATCGGGAAAGATGAGGAACAGGAAGATGAGCATCGTCTACGGGTCGCTCTTCAATTTTCCTCGGTTATCGCGTCGTGTCCGGTTTACGGTTTCCACTATGGCAAGCAACTACGCGTTTCCGCCCGTTGCATTCCTCTGTGGGAAACGCTGCCGTGCCGCTCGGTCGCCATCTTTTCGGCCGACATTTGCGCCTTCTCTTCTGGATCTGGAGCGACGTCGAACGGTTCCGCGGAATTATCCTCCTCCTCCTCCTCATCTTCGATTTATTCTCAAAATTCCGCTTCCGTCCGACAACTCGAGTTAGCGTTAAAATTACGAGGCAACGATCGAACGAATGACGCATCGATAAAATACGGTGAAGAAACGATAGACGAAGATTCGGCGCAAGAGAATTTCATTCGCGTAGAAGTACAAGAAGAAATTACTGTCCCTTTTTATTTCTCGAAGACAGAGTCGCGCTAGCAACCTGAATTTTTCGAGATTTTCGTTCGTCTTACGTTCGATCTCGCTTACGATAGATCTCGCCAACGATAGATCTCGCTCGTGACGGATCCCGCTCGTAGTTTTCGGTGGAATCGACGTAGCCTCAGACGCAATGTATAACGGCGATGTTTACCAGCGAGTTATGTTCTTCAGATTTCGCTATTCTCATCGGGTTCTGGCGTCGCGCCAGAGACCTAAAACTGGCCTGCCTAACCATCCGCTACGTAGAGCAGGAAAATAGAAGAGCCGTGCAGAGATATCAAGGCCGTAGACAGTTCGACGAGCGGATCAAGACGAAAAATGCAAATTGCGTCTTAGGCGTACCGCGAACGTTGCACGTCGATCGTAACATCGACGCGGCTTCGTTCGATCTTGAAATAATCCTGGGGGCGGTAACGATCGGCTCGTTCTCGGAAAATTCGATAGGTATCCGAACGCGATCGTTCGAACTTTCCTTCAAGAAATTTCCTCTACGTTTGCGCAACCGTGTTTAGTCGCGGCTTCGACGTTGATCTTTTCGTACAGCCTCGACGAATTTAGAAAAAGATCGTTCGTTCGTCTCGCGAGGGAGAAGCTTCTTCGGGGCTGCAACCGATTTTGTTAACCCGTGTACCGTTTCCTCTTGACCCTCTGTTAGCAAAATAACGACGAGAGCCAGGAAAGAGAACGTTCTCCCGGAATTCCGACGATCGTTCGACGAGGCGGGGTGTGTCTGCGCCGTCTTCAGCTTCTCGCTGATCTCGTTCCCCCTTCTCCGTCGACTTCCATGCCGAATCAAGGGCAGCAGAAGGTGCACGAGGTGCGATCTGTCCGCTGTATAAGCACTGTCTGGGAAATCGAATTCTCTCCGCCAGGGTCAGATAGCGTCCGAGGGCGGCGCAAACGTGGTTCTTCACAAAATTCTGTACGTGACCGGAGCCCGAGCTGCTCGAGTCTCGAAGAGATAAGCCAAGCGTCGCGGCGCGCCGCGGCGTCATCTTCCCAATCTCGGCTCGTGGCTCCCGCTCGAACGAACGCATCTTTCTTCTCCGTTTAAGCGGTTTATGCCACGGCAGGAGGATGGAAATTAACGCCGTCTGGGGCCGCGTCTGGACGGTCCCGAAGATTCGTTCTCTGGCCGATGCCGGAGATCGATCCTCGACGTCCATTTCTTTCCAGGAAGACCTTCGCCGGTTCCACGCACGCCGAAGAGATTCGGCTCTCGGCCGGCCGTTACTCGGGCTCTTCTCCACGTGCAGACAAACAAGCCAGCAGCCCACGAGCGGGATCGATTAAAATCTCGGATCACGATCCGCGCGCGAGAAAGAAACAAATAAAGACCCCGGGCGCTGAAAATCGTCCGACGTCGGGCGACCGTTCCTTCGGCCGTTGCGCCGCCGACTCTTGAATAAAGAGGAGAAAGTCTCGATACGAGACGTCGCGAATTCGTCCCGTGACGTCAGGGGACACCGGTTTCAATGAACGAGCCGATAACGAGATCGACGATCCGCGCGCCAACGAATTCGACGCCTCGAGTCTCGTCGGCCGATCGTTTTTCAGGATTTTTCGAGTCTCGTAGCTTAGTAAGAACGGAACTCTTACGATTTTTACATCGATATCTTACACAGATATCTTCGAAACCACGAGCACCTGAAAGAAAATCGATTTTCGTTGCCACGAAGAAGAAATTTCTTTCTCGAGTCTCGCGATGTTTCTTGTCTTGTGATCACAGACAAAAAGCGTGGTTATTTCTTAGCGTTTTCGATCGGGAGATTGTCCAGACGTTTCCGGTTCCGGTGACCGATCGCGCAGTGTTTTGCAACGCGCGGATTCGCGTAATTCTGTTCCGTCAGGATCCGCGACCAGATAGCGCGGGTTACAGCATCGATGCACGCACATTACAGGCACGTTTTCCGGTTTGGTTCTCCCGATTAACGAACCACGCTCTCGGACGCTCGAGCAATGCGAGAATGCGCGTCGGCAGACGCGTGCGCGCGCCACAAGAATTTTTATGGGCCACCGTGTTCAATCTGTTCGCCCTTTCACCGTTAAATATTTTTAGCCTTCGAACCTCTTCCTGCCCCATTAATTAGCCCCGGCGGCGACGGCGCTCCGGCTTCTCAGGGAAAAACGATGCTTTTCCTGCGTCGCGACTTCGAATTCCGCTCGTGCGACGCGCTGTCGCGCTTTTACGAGCATCGAAAGTTCTCGATTTTTTCGATACCGAGTGTACGGATAGCTGGACGCTGGACTGATGAAGCGTTGCATCGCTTTGTAAAAATGACAGGAATGCATTCGCTCGGATTTATCGCGATTCCGATGTGCCCAAAGAAATCGATTTATTGTCTCCGAGAATCAGCGATTCCTCGCATGCCGACAGCAATGCTCAGGAATCTCGAGCCTAGACCGAGCCGATAGAACTTTCACGAGTCAAGAATACTGGCGGAGGTGTCACATCGTCAGGCTCGCATTGACGTCTAACGGAAAACGCTCTCGAGGAAAGTCGGTTGTCGGGTTTCTCAATTTTTAATGTTGGCAATCCTTTACCCGATCGAACCTCGGATAAAACGGCTAGAAAAAAATGCACGCATAAAACCGCACGATTTAATAAAGAACAATCTTGCGACCGATAACGCAACCGCGTTCGCCAGCCTAATCGCGCGGTAAGCGAGTCCCGGCGAGAAAAATCATCTTACCGAGGCTGTCGACAGAATCCGCGACAGTTGATACATTGTAAGCCGCGTCCGACTTCGCACGACGCGCGCCGACATTTGGTTCGACACGTTACGAGGTCAATTGCAATATTCCGGCACTCGAAGTTCATTGTAATATCGGCACCGTTTCCCCTACTTCCTTATCATAGAAGTCGCAAGTCGAACAGCAGAGTCGCCACCGATTCCTCAGTTGTTCGAACGGCTTATCGTTGCTCGCGCGAACAGCCACGGCAAAGTGAACAAAGTGAGCCTTCGTGTTCGCGTGTCGGCGCCGCCGATGCCGCGGGATTCCCAGAAGATCGTTTTGCGAGTACGGATCGCGATCGATCGATCCTCGAAACTGGGTCGGTCGCGTGCGGAACGGACGCGGAAAGTGTGATTCGGACGAGAGATCGGCCGAGACTGGGCCGATATTCTCGTTATCAGCGTTATCTGATAGCTACTTGAACGATTTTTATTCCAGCCACGAGGCGCACGAGTGTCTTGGTGAAGTTCGGTCGGCGCGACAGATATAATTGCTATGTTCGTTTACCTCGATCGACGATCATGCGCTGCTGCTTAGGCTCGCGACAGTGCTGAAGCAAGGCTGACCACGACGACACCTTCTCTCCGGCCTGAGTCACCTGGGAGACCATGGCCCCTGCCAATCCTGCGTTCGAGGTACCTGTCGACAGTTTATTCTGGTTAATCGTCTTAGACGCTACCGCTTTCTTGAATTTGTCCAATGCAATTCGACGCGGACTGCACTTTCTACCGATCTACCGGGATTTTTTGGTTACACCGAATGTTTTGGTGCTTCGTTGTTCCAACTCGATAATTACCGTAGTTATACACGGCCGGAGCTATCTATGCTAATGTATATACCAAGTGGGGTAACGCTGTGTTGGTTGATAAAATTTTCTGGAGGTATACTCGGCTTGAATAAGTTTAGAAAGTTTTGAGGCTGGAACGAGTCAGTGACCTTTGTTTACCTGCTTCTTATCCTATCTTTGGTCACACGTAGACCTTCGCTCGCGTCTTGGAAAAGTGTCCCACATTCGACGATTTGATTGGCTTCATTTCTGGAAGATTGCTTTATTGTTTAATACCGTGATCCGACACAGGATTGTATTGTATTTCGTATTATTTGTCGGCGAATGAAAAAGATACCGAGCCAACCGACATCGAAAATCTAAACGAACAGAATTGTATACTTGCCATAAGAGAATGCTCGAAAGTATTACAACAGAAGCACCGATACAAATACGATCGACACATTGTTTCTTAATTATCGCTGTTATCTCAACAGGACACCGAGCTCAGTGTACTGGAAATTGACCGCTGTCGCGATGAATCCGTGGAAGATAAGGTATGCATTTGTTTGTCTCTCTGTGTAATTGTCACGGAATCTCGGTGTTTTCCGCGATCGATAATCAACGGAATAAATTGCAGTTATTAATAGACCCCGGATCATCTCTGTTGAAACGTACTGATAAAGAGAATACACGTTCTTTTCACCGATGCAATCGTATCGGTGTAACGTATACTTTTCAGCAGGTGATTAACCAAAGAAATAATCTACCGGACTCGCTCTCTGGTCTTCTATTAAAAATTCCAATAAAATGGAAGAAAATTGTGTTCGCTGTTTTTAATTCGTTATTTTCCTCCGTAACCGCGGTCCCATAAAAAGTTCGCTTGAAACGATTCGCATTAGCGGCAAGCACGAGGCTCGCGCGTTACCATTGAACCGAACGCGTTCGCGGTGTATCGGCACAATAAAGTTTCATTATCTGCTAAACAATGGATCAGCCTTGGCTCTTCGACGGTGTTGGTAAAACACGCTTTCCGTTTCGATCGCAGGCAGCGAGAAAGGAGGACGATTCCGTCGGTTGTTTAGCAGCAAGATACCTCGCGTTCAGCGCCTTCCTGTCGAAGCACCACAGGATCGTCAGGATCCTGGCATGGCTCGTTTTCAATGGTTTGCTGCTGACATACTTCGTCTTCGCCACGCTATACTGGAGGAACAACCGTACGTATCTGAACGATCGGCAAGATAAATCATCGCGCAGACAAATCCTACCGAGTCAAGGTAATTCAGCTAATGAGACATAAACTGCAGGCTTTACGCAGAAAGAAAACGATAAAATGTCAGAGATTTATCCGGTGTTTAGACGTTCAACCTGATTTTACGCACTTGTAACTAGAGCCTTCGAGCATCAGATGTTCCAGAAGATTTACTGCCTGGCGAAGACTCTGCAGAATTATCTACCTCCGAGTAAGATTTCTCGAGGTTTTTCGCAGAAACAACCATTTTCCGGGTAATCATGACGCAAGTTACAAAAAACTGTTTGTGTAAAAATTCTCAGCGATTGCTGGGAAGCGATCGATCAGTGTTGCGATATGATAGAATTGTGAAAGCAGGCTTCTCTAAGGAATCGTTCGTAGCGCGGTCACTTTTTAATCGATCTATTCTTTGGAAAAAAAAATCCAAATATCTTATAACTCTCGCACGTAATTTGCCCAGGCTTCGAGCAAGGATTCAACTGGTGCAATGGCTACGGCATGCTGCTCCTTCTGTTCCTGTTCAGTTATGGCGGCGTGGCCTACCATCATGCCGCGAAACGATTCGGAAAAAGGTTCGGCCAGAGTGCCAAGCAGTTCAGCAAGAGATTCGAAATTTTCCTCAGCACCAGGTAACGCGTCGTGGACATCGACTCGAAGTAATGCTATCGATACCAATTAACCATTATTCGTCCGCAGACACGGTCGAATCGTTTTCCAGTCGGTCTTATACGGTTGCATATTTGCCGCCTTCGCGGTGTTCCTAATTTTGGACACCGCTGACTCGAGAGAGAGACTGATCGGCATCATCGGACTAGTCACGTTCATATGCTTCGGATGGGTCTTCTCGAAGCATCCTGGTCGCGTGAGTATATCGATCGATCATCGACGATCGCCGATCTTTCGTTAATCCATCAATCTCGACGAGTCGACGACGACGAGTCGTTTCGACGCGTCACCGTCGAGTATGCAGCAGTGGATGCACAGCGTTGCACCGGTTCAAGTTAAACGAAGGATAATGCAATTCGAACGACTTCCGTCCGGAAGTATTAAAATCGAAACGAGCTTCTTGTCCGGTCCAGCAGCTAATTAAATAATGGTCGTTTCTGGACTGTTTTAGATCAATTGGAGGACAGTCCTCTGCGGATTGATCCTGCAGTTCCTCTTCGGTTTGTTCACGATCCGATGGGAGGTCGGCAGAGCAATTTGCAAGTGCGTGTCCGACAAGGTAGCCGAGTTCCTGAACTTCGCCAAAGCCGGATCGTCGTTCATCTTCGGCGACGAGCTGGTCAACGGCGGCGTCTTCGCGTTTTCGGTGAGTACACGTTTTGCTTTCTCGAAGCAATCCATCCTTCGATTCTCAACGATTTAGCTAGCTGTCGGTGAATCGTGGGGGAAATAGACTCGATAACAGAATCCTTCCTCGGCAACAGAATTTCTATTCCAGGTGCTGCCAGTGATCTTCTACTTCAGCTTCTTCATCCAAATACTGTACTACCTGGGCGTGATGCAGTGGATCATCCTGACCGTTGGTCGAATTCTGCAGGTGCTGATGGGCACGTCGATCTGCGAGTCGTTGTACAGCTGTGCCAACATGTTCATAGGAATGGTGAGGAGCGGGTTTATGATCGCGAATTACGGTTCGATCGTTGCAATCCCTGCATTTGATTCCAGACGGAAACTCCGTTGCTCATCAAACCGTACCTGAACAAGCTGACAACCTCCGAATTCCATGCTCTCATGTGCTCGGGATTCGCGATGATATCAGGTTAATTGAAGAGCTCGTTAATCCAGTTATCGCCGGGTAGTCTTTATCAGCGGCATGACGTCTGCTTGGTTCTACGCAGGAACGGTGCTGGCCGCTTACATCGAGAACGGCGCGAACCCGGCTCATCTGATAACTGCATCGCTGATGGCAGCACCTGCTTCGCTATGCTACGCGAAACTATTTTACCCGGAGACCGAGGAGATCATCGTTACCCGCGAAAACGTGAAGCTCGAGAAATCGTGAGTTCGATCGCACTACGGTAATGTCTCTCTAATTGATGCCTAGATTGTCCAGAAAAATGGACAATTTGGGAAGAGAAGATGCGATTATTCGAGTCTTGCGGTTTGTTTTTATAGTTATAAATTGCGGACAATTATAAAGGCGAGCCGCAAGCGAGCCTCTTCCCAAATTGTCCATTTCAGTGGACAATCTGAGCGTCGGTAAGGGAGACGTTACTGTATTCCTTTATACGTGTGATCACTTGCGAAACTTGGTAGAAACTGAAACACGGTTCTTCAAATTTCCTTTGGTCATTATCAGATCGCTTATAATTTCGCAGCCAAGACGCCAGCCTCGTAGACGCTGCCACCAAGGGTGCAATGGCAGGCATCCCCTTGGTTCTGGGCATCATTTCCAATATCGTCGCGTTCGTTGCATTCATCGCACTTGTGAACTCGTTGCTAAATTGGCTGGGCACCTTGGTCGGCTACGATCCTGCTCAACTCGGCGAACCTCTCAGTCTCGAAGTAAGCGATCATCGCCTCTCTGAACAATATTTAAGACCTGGACGCGCGTGTAAGAGGAGCGGCCAGCAACTTCAATATTTCTGTCATATGTCGTAGCTTCTTTTTCTTTTTACATCTTCGACAGCCCCGTAAAGTCCGCGATGCAATTAATGATCGTCTTTTTAAAACATTGCAAATGCCATAAACGTCTCGGTGCAGAGTGCATTTTCGTTGCAGCTGATATTATCGAAGGTGTTCAAGCCGGTAAGCTGGATAATGGGGGTTCCATGGGAACAGTGCGAGCACGTCGCGACCTTGATAGGCCTGAAGGTAGTGGTCAACGAGTTCGTAGCCTACCGTAAATTAGGGGTGCTTAAGAACCAGGGCAAGCTCTTTGGTAGGGCAGAAGCCATCGCGACATACGCCATTTGCGGATTCGGTAATCCGGGATCGGTAGGTATCACGCTAGGTGCTATGACCAGTTTAGCACCGGAAAAGAAAAAAGAGATCAGCGGCACTATTATAAGGGCGTTTGTGGCTGGCACTATCGTGTGTTTAATGACTGGCAGCATCGCTGGTAAGGTTCGAATATCTTCGTCGATCGTTTAATCATTTTTGACGATCCACCGTCATTTTCAGGGTTACTGGTCACCGAGGGTGCCTTCGACAGCCCTGCCAATTCTACTGCGACACCTTTGATCGCTGCCAATTCTACCAACGCGTTTGTCTAATGAATTTCTAGCCGAACGAGTCGTCGTCCTGACGACTATACCGCAGATTTTATATAAGTTAAAACTTTTTATAGACTGTTTTATATAAACCAAAACGAATCAAGAGTTCGTTGCATCGACCAACGAATTCCTCGCGGTAAAAATAAAATGGCGGTGCCGTTGCCATTCGTTGACGTCGATGTTTCGTTAAATTTTTAGATATCTTTGTTATTATTGACAATGGGAAGAAAATATCGGAAGAAAATATAATTAGATTTGAAACTTCGGTAGGCCTGAAATCTCGAAGAACGCGAACTCCGGAAAAATGCATTGCTCACTCNAGTCTTTATCAGCGGCATGACGTCTGCTTGGTTCTACGCAGGAACGGTGCTGGCCGCTTACATCGAGAACGGCGCGAACCCGGCTCATCTGATAACTGCATCGCTGATGGCAGCACCTGCTTCGCTATGCTACGCGAAACTATTTTACCCGGAGACCGAGGAGATCATCGTTACCCGCGAAAACGTGAAGCTCGAGAAATCGTGAGTTCGATCGCACTACGGTAATGTCTCTCTAATTGATGCCTAGATTGTCCAGAAAAATGGACAATTTGGGAAGAGAAGATGCGATTATTCGAGTCTTGCGGTTTGTTTTTATAGTTATAAATTGCGGACAATTATAAAGGCGAGCCGCAAGCGAGCCTCTTCCCAAATTGTCCATTTCAGTGGACAATCTGAGCGTCGGTAAGGGAGACGTTACTGTATTCCTTTATACGTGTGATCACTTGCGAAACTTGGTAGAAACTGAAACACGGTTCTTCAAATTTCCTTTGGTCATTATCAGATCGCTTATAATTTCGCAGCCAAGACGCCAGCCTCGTAGACGCTGCCACCAAGGGTGCAATGGCAGGCATCCCCTTGGTTCTGGGCATCATTTCCAATATCGTCGCGTTCGTTGCATTCATCGCACTTGTGAACTCGTTGCTAAATTGGCTGGGCACCTTGGTCGGCTACGATCCTGCTCAACTCGGCGAACCTCTCAGTCTCGAAGTAAGCGATCATCGCCTCTCTGAACAATATTTAAGACCTGGACGCGCGTGTAAGAGGAGCGGCCAGCAACTTCAATATTTCTGTCATATGTCGTAGCTTCTTTTTCTTTTTACATCTTCGACAGCCCCGTAAAGTCCGCGATGCAATTAATGATCGTCTTTTTAAAACATTGCAAATGCCATAAACGTCTCGGTGCAGAGTGCATTTTCGTTGCAGCTGATATTATCGAAGGTGTTCAAGCCGGTAAGCTGGATAATGGGGGTTCCATGGGAACAGTGCGAGCACGTCGCGACCTTGATAGGCCTGAAGGTAGTGGTCAACGAGTTCGTAGCCTACCGTAAATTAGGGGTGCTTAAGAACCAGGGCAAGCTCTTTGGTAGGGCAGAAGCCATCGCGACATACGCCATTTGCGGATTCGGTAATCCGGGATCGGTAGGTATCACGCTAGGTGCTATGACCAGTTTAGCACCGGAAAAGAAAAAAGAGATCAGCGGCACTATTATAAGGGCGTTTGTGGCTGGCACTATCGTGTGTTTAATGACTGGCAGCATCGCTGGTAAGGTTCGAATATCTTCGTCGATCGTTTAATCATTTTTGACGATCCACCGTCATTTTCAGGGTTACTGGTCACCGAGGGTGCCTTCGACAGCCCTGCCAATTCTACTGCGACACCTTTGATCGCTGCCAATTCTACCAACGCGTTTGTCTAATGAATTTCTAGCCGAACGAGTCGTCGTCCTGACGACTATACCGCAGATTTTATATAAGTTAAAACTTTTTATAGACTGTTTTATATAAACCAAAACGAATCAAGAGTTCGTTGCATCGACCAACGAATTCCTCGCGGTAAAAATAAAATGGCGGTGCCGTTGCCATTCGTTGACGTCGATGTTTCGTTAAATTTTTAGATATCTTTGTTATTATTGACAATGGGAAGAAAATATCGGAAGAAAATATAATTAGATTTGAAACTTCGGTAGGCCTGAAATCTCGAAGAACGCGAACTCCGGAAAAATGCATTGCTCACTCTTTCATACTCCAATTATGTTTCCTTCTGAAATTCATCTCTATTATCGATAATAAAGGAGGTGTTTAGTTTTATTGTTAAAAATAGCTCGTGTAAATACCGAAGGATAAAGAAACAGGCTGGCTCTTCTCACTAACATATCCATTGACGATCTTGTACAATACTGATTTCCAATAAGAACATTTAATTGTTAAATAAGACTGCACCGAATCGTTTGGCGTCGATTTCACACGGATTCTATAGATGTAAAATTCAATGAAAATTAAAACTACGGAATGTACCGAGAATAAAATCCTAATCTAGTGCATTTTGTACAATATCAGAAACTATACATAATTAACGGTGTAAAGTGTAAATGATAAGTAAAGTGTAGTATAAAAGGTTGGCAAGGTCGTGCCGTACCGTTATAAAATTCCGCGTATCACAATATTTTCGACATCGGAGTGTTCGTGCCTTTTCGAGCAGCTTCGTGAAGCAAGTGCAGCGTTTTTTCCCCACCACGATCGTAATAAATCAGCTTTTTCTTTAATCTTATGGCAAGTTGTGAAGCTGATGAATATCGTAAATGTTGTTGGTGCGATTGAACACTTCCTCGGTGACCTCGAGCATCTTGGGCAGAACGTCCACGTTTCTTTGGACCTCGGCTCCGCAAACCTGGAATTAATTTATCTAGAAAATGTACTCTTCCCAATTCCAAGTAAGACTTATCGAGCCATATTCACCTTTTTGAATAAAACATCCCTGGTGGGCATAGTGTACATGGCAACTACAGCTGCCTTTCTAATCATCCAAGGATGATGCTTGGCTAAGGTCTTGCCGTACGCGTCCTGGCAAGATGTGGAGGTTTTATCGGTGTCGGATAGATCACCTAGTTGCCTTAAAAATTCCCTAATAAAATCTGATAATTGGCCGAGCATTAAACAACCGTACCAAGACTTTTATACGTATGAAGTACAATATACGGTGTTACCTAATCCTCTATGAAGCCTCAACAGCGTACGAGCACCGTTCGTATAGTCTCCCTTGTTTAGAATATTGTTCTCCTTCTCGTATAATATCATAGATTTAACTGTGATATAATTCTGTTCGTCTTTGGACATAAATTCTGTTAGGATCTCAATCTTTTGCTTTAAATCTGAGGATACGAAACTGAATACGCTACCCATCAGCTGGAAAAACCTACGGATACGTATGGAATTACAATGCACGAGTCAATCGTACGAAAGAGTTGAGGGAGCGCGAAGCTCTAGAGACTGTTAACGAGAATGAGACTTAATTAAAGATGTTTTATACAGAAATAAAGCAGAGGAAGGTTATGTTTGCTGGAGAAAACAGTTGTTTAAGTGATAACTTACTTATAGAGTTCATGATAGGCTTCCAGGTAGGCTTTGAGATCTATATCGTCGTCCTCGATCATAGCACGATCAAAGTGATCGTGCACCAGCCTCAAATCAAAAAAACTTAACTCAGAACCCTCCGCCATCGCAGTGTTACACTTGAGACAGACAATTGACTACAAATCGACTACTTGCCACGCAGGTGCGACTTTGGCCACGTTATCTAGTTAAAGAAGTCATTCTTATCTCTTACGGAAATTGAATTACGTGTAGCCGAATAACAAAGACAATTTGTTGAAGTAACACTGTGTCACTGAAATAATCAATGCCCAGCGCTCGACGGACGGTCGGGTTCAAGGGAAACAGGTTGAGATGATAATAGGCATTGTTACCAGTGTTTACACGTTGTTGTTCTCTTGTTGAACGTTTTGTAAATTATTATTACATATGTAATTACGATTTTAAACAAAGTAGAACACAAATTCGTAACTTTTTAAAATAAATCCAGTTGACCGTAGGATTGAATATTTTTCGCAGGGGGTGGGATACATATTTATTGATTAATTCGTTTGTAATACATTTAATGATTTGATTGTTTACGTTCTGTTAACAGAATTTTATCTGTGCTTATATCATATAAGCAAGGACTTATGTCTGCCCATATGGTGTGCGTATATATATTATAGACGCGAATGATTCTTGCCTATCGAGGCATAAGATGGTTGAAAACTGCGGTACGAATTATTTGCGGTGGGAAAAGTACTCGATTTAAACGACTGGTGGCGCTAGTTGTGAAAGTACAGTTTCGAAAGAGACATTCGAGGAGTAGGAGTCGGCGCGCGCGCATCGGGCTTCGGAGCTTCTTTCGAATAAGTTCGCGAGTTTGAATTTGTCAGTGTAAACGTGCATTGAATTGTTGCTAAGAGTGCTTATTACAATCGGGAGACAACGAATTCCTATTGCATTAGGTAAGTTTTACGACACGATTGATAATGTTACAGTTTCGTAGATTCATGAGCATGCACGTACATTTCGGATCACGCACTTTCCAAAATCGTATTTTCACATGCTTAGAATTAATATACTACTCACTCCGCGATTGTGTGTCATAGTGGTCCTGATTGCTCCGGAGTCGAGTTTGGATCGGAAACACGCGACGAGGATAGGGTCATCAATTGAGAGAAGAAATACAGTAATTACGACAACGCAGGAGACACGCACATTCGCTCGAATTATTTCAGCGCCATTACTGAGGAGCTTCATTTTCCGCCGCAAGATGGCGACGGCGTTTCCACTACCGGTAAGTCCTAGTCGTTTGAATATGCATGCCGCACGAATGTTTTCTGACTTTCAAATTACAAATTTGTAATACAAAATGAGATATGCAGACTACCCGATTCTCAATAGGAAGCTTAAATTTCAGAAGTGTGTGCAACGATGAGAGCGACGTAGAAATGGTAATTGGGCTACCAAAGCCTCAGTTTTGGATGACAACAATTTATATTGGCTGCTTACGTCCGCTCCTATATCTTGTTTGTGATATAATATAAAGATTAATCAATAATATTAAAATGATTCAAAAGGATATATATTCGTATTTCAGCAATTGTATTCAACAAGAAGTATCGATTTTCCTATTTGACCGACTCTCTTTTCCTCAGTAGTTTCCGAAAAATTTCCCATGCATCGCTTCCATCAGTCTCTTTGTCCTCACCATTCTAGCTTAATTTGATCGAAAATGAATGGACGTTAAACGTTCCGAATTTGTCTTTCACCTTGTACGCGCCTATTAATTAACCCAATCAAATCTCTACCGTATGCGCAACCGCGTTTCCATTCCCGTGAATTCCGTTCATTCATTGCGGAAGCAATGAGTGCAAAATATTTATTAATCACGAGGACAATTAGCTTATCACTGAAAAGTTATTATAATCGATACGTCTCCATCGTACGAGTTCCATTTATACATTTTATAAGAATATACTGTATCCCCGTATATTCACGTACTCTCAGAGCGGAGACTAGAATCGCAACTATTGGGGGCAGTTTTGAAGTTGGGGGAGGAAGACCGAGGTACCTCATTTTTTGAACATTGTGCCGGTGTTTAGCGAGCCGCGTCCATTATGGCATCGACTCGGCTGGCAGAACAAAGAGTTTGAAAATCTCGCTGACACAAAGATGTATGTTGGTAACTGGTGTCCCTGGGGGCGTTAAATAATTCACCGCAGCTGGGACCGAGGGTTAGGTAAGAGGCGAGGCTTGTGGGAGGGCGAAAGAGGCGAAGGTTGAAGGGCCGATCAAATATTCACGTGTACTTCAACGCGGATGGAGCTAAGCAGCGTCGAGTACAGAAACTGTGTAACTGTCCGACACTATTTCCCTCGACAAAATCTTTTACGGCTGCTTAAGACAGTCTGGGGACACCGGGCATCCGATGATTCCGCTCGACGACCTAAATATTCACCTTTGTCAACCCGAGAGAGGACTCGGCTCTCTCCTTTCTCTCCTTTTTCTTCCTTTTTTTACGATGGTTACGCGTATCCGGTTAAGCGATCCCGAGGGGATCAACTTGAACGACCAATCACGCTGAGGCGCATAAAAATGCGTCGCTTGGGTGTTGTAATACCGGTCGAAGCTTGTCGACAGCCATTCCGTCCACCGGGTCGATGGTTACCCGTGGTCTTCGATGAATTTGGTTAGCTTCAGCGTTTTTCCTCCCCCTTTTATCGGCCATCGACCAGCGGACGTAAATTTCCCTGTAACTAACAGACGCGTTCGTCCCTCGATAAAGTATCGATGCTGCCGGCTAAGAGATACTCATTGCGCTACCCAGGAGACTCCTGGCTTCCTCTGGCTAACAGAAAATGTTCGAGGTCCTTCGAAGTTCTCGTTCATAACGTCTAGGACCAGTTCTAATTTAATTTCTTCGAGATCGATTGACAGAAATGTCTTCTCATCGAATTTTTCATAATTAACTCAGACCGAAGCGCTGACCCTTCTTCAACCCTTAATTTAGTCACTGTGTTACTATTTGATGATTCAGGCGACGTTTCCAAAATTAATTTCACTTCCCACTTCGACAAAAATGAATATCGAGCGTATTAATTTACTTGCATTTCGGTGGCCCGTTTCGAGAGAAGACCTTCCGAGGAAGTATGATTATTTGTAGAATGTTTATGGGGGTGAATAGCAAGTGCCGCGTTGACCGCCGAGGTCCCCGGAAGAAAGCCGATCCCCGAGATCCGAAGGGGAGGCGAAAAGAAATTGGTCAACGAGGCGTGCTCCTCTCCTAATCATCATTCTAATTATCTCGGTAACCCAATCCAGTGTTCGTGTCGCGCCTTGGCTTCCTGCTTCGATTCCCTCCCAAAACTTCTCGATTCTACAGGCACCCCCCGCCTGGACGAATTTTCCACCCTCCGGCAACTTGCTATCCCATCCTCGCGAGTCTGCTTCGATCCTTTTCTGCCGTTTGTCCCGTCACCTGTCCCATCTTTGTCCATACGGTGTCTTAGTCTCGCCGTGGGATTGCCGACGACCGCCCATCTAAGTTTAACAATTAACGGCTGACTAGAGAAAAATAAATTAATTGCGAACTGCTGGCGTGTGTCAGGAGCACGCTTAAGCTTGGGAACATGGGGATCTTGCTAGGGGTACGATCGATCGGGACTTCCAAGATTACTCATAAAGGCCGCCTGGTTCTTCGATCTAGTTCTCGGTCCCATTAAGTCACACATTTTTTTTCAATATTGCAGGTTTTATTATTTCTTAAATCTCCGCGGAATTTGTAGGTAACACTTCGATCCAGCGAGTTTCCAGGTCTTGCGAATGCGATATTTCAATTGCTCCAGCTTCTTCATCCTTCGATCTAATGGAACGTCTTCTTACTAAATTAAGATCTCCGTCGAATTTCTAATTAAGATTTCAGTTTTTAACTTCTTAGGTTCCAAGTTTCGTCCACAGAAATTGTTCAACGCTTCTTCAACCTTTCCAGCTTCCAATTCACCCCCCTCGTTTCGCATTTGATATTCTCCTGTAGCTGTGTGCCAGTTTATTAGCGAAGCAGGGTCGGGTTGTCATATTCGACGTTTAGCAAGGGATGTTTTCTGCGTAAAAAATCGAGAATAGGGGAGGTTATGGTGACTGGGCGACGACAGTCAGCCCCGACGACGCTTCCCCTCGTCCCCTCGTCTCCTCCTTTTGTCCCGGTCGTCAGGGCTGACAGAAAGTGCAAGCATCGGGGACGAGGTATTTGTCATACGTCGATAGGCGTCAGCATTGACACACTCTCCGGGAGCCGTGAAACGGAAGTGGCGTTTGGGGGCGGCGACGATTGAAGGGTTCGAAGGGAAAGACAGATAAATATTTGAGGAATTTGTCGTCGTGGAAGACGCCCGGCATCGGGAGACCTATCGCTTGTTTACCAGCCCTGTAAGCAACGATTTCAGTCAATCCCCGTATGCAGAATGCACAGGGGTGAAGCAAGAATGAAAACAGAGGTCGAGGGTTAGGGGGCAGGTTGTAATTATCGCGAGAAAACATGTGATTCCGAATTCGATTCTCGAACTCTTCTTAAAGTACGCCGTCTTCGTGGATTAATTGAAAAGCATTCGATGAAGTTTAAAGTATATCATTGACTACAACGGATGTTTGCAAAGTACGGTTGACTTTACCCTCGACGAACTACACCTACGGACGCGTTTCATTGTGCTCTACGTACAGAAGTCTTCTTCGAAGTCTTCTAGAATGTTTGCCAATGTTAAATTATTACAGAAATAATTCATACAAATGGTCGATTTTAGGGAATGCGAAGACAGGACTTGTGTTTTCAAAATAGTGTCTTCTTTTCTTGCGCATCGATGATTGCACCTTGAACATTTTATGTGGACTTGGAAGAAGCGAATCATTTCAACGTTAATTAGACTATATTTCTAATCGTCGTGCCACGAGTCTCGCTATAATATTCAAAGTCGCAGGATTAATCAGTCTCTCTTAAATTATTCTAGACCTCGTTCCGACATTTATCTTAGCAATAAATCATTGCATTGGGAAATTTAATCCTCGATAAAGTGAAACTCTATTCGCCCGAACAAGTACAAGTTTGAAAAAATATGCGACAAAAGTAGCATCGCACTAGTTCGAAGACGTCAGCGAAAGTCACCACGATCCTGGCAGTGGAAGGGGGTCCTGTTCACCTCAAGTCGAACGTCTCCCGGTCGATCCTGCTCGGGAAATAGATATCGACGCGTGTTCCCGAGGGATTTGTAGTTCTTCACGCAACACCGGGACCGCGTGTACCAGCCTGATTCAAAAAGACGGTCCGCGCCAGCGTCTCTCCAGGGGGTAGTTTTAAAATTCAACCCCCATACGAGGTCTAAAGGGCCGCACGCTACACTGTGCTCATATCAATCCGTGGGATCAATAGGAAGTCGTCTGCTCCTGGCTAGAGGATCCTGGGCGCAGGATATCTCGACCGGCCGATTCCGAGGGAATTACAAGCGGTAAATTCGGCCGGGGGAGGATTACACACCCTTCGTCTAAGCAATTATCATAACCGAGATTTCCCTTCGGCTACTCGTTCGACGATCTTTTAGGAACGTTTTCGAATCTTCTTCTTTCACCGAGCAACACTTGCACTCGCGTAAAAATTCCTTTCCAATGTAGAACTAAGTCTGTAATTCGTCCGTTCGGCCTCTTGTACATTTTCCACCGTATGTAGCACGTTGAATATCGGTACACAAAAGAATGTAATTCTGTACTCAAAAATCGAAGCAGTTCTTATTCTCTAATTTTCTCGGAGCCCCGCAAATCGGTTTGAATTTTATTTTACAATCGAGCGTCGATTAAAACCGGGCACAAGGGTGCGTCGAAGCGCTCGATAATTGAGAAATGAATTTTTACACGAAACGTATCGAACGATCGAGCGCAGAATGCCGAGTTCAGACGTTCCCCAGGCACCGCGCAGCTTGTGTACGCCGCGTGTCGAGTCCGGAGGCGCGAAAAGCCCAGGTAGTCGGCGTAAAACGAGCCCGGGAAGTTCATTAATGGATTAAGAGTGCTGGATCGATACGATTAGCGGCGGGTACGTAGCCGTATGTCGTATGCGACGCGCGGACCGACACGCATCGAAACTTAACCCAGTGCCGATCAATTTCGCGCCGTTCGCCGCGGGATCGGCACTGCGCCAGCTTTATTTATAGGGGGGAAGTGTTGCTTGATTTATAGAAAACGCGGGGAAAAGTCGCGTGATGCTCGATGCGCCGGCGACTGGACACATTATCGAGGGACAAATAAATCTGG